CATCATGAGAGAAAAAAATCTATATTTTAATGGATTTTTTCATTCCGAATATTTTATGTCTCTTGATATTACGCATATTTGTGTAATATCAAGGTATTTTTTAAAACGTACATATATTTTAGTATAAAAAATAATACACTTGCTTGTATTCCTAATTCAATGCATGTTTTTTCCTTGTAATGAATTTGGTAAAATACTTGGAGAATAATGTGAATATTTTGCAAATTTTCGGTGTGATCTTAATCTTACATTCTTGAAAGTTTGAACGAAACACAGTCGAATTCTCAGACAATTCTCTTAGCTGCACAAGGAGTTCTAGGACAAATTCAACAACATCTACGAAGGTTCAATTAAGAAAAGATTTTGGAATTGCTTTACTACTAAATCAATCAAGAATTACAGCTGGCCCAAAGGAATCCATGTATATCTTTAAAAGAAGATATAGAATATAATATATTAATCGACTGGTTCTTAGTATGAAGTATGAGTTTATTGGGTTTCAATGTATCGTTATAGAAAGATGATATTAGCCATGTCTGTGCATTTCCAAGGTAAAATTGAAACCCTTCAATTTTCGAGTTTCTTCCAAAAAAATAACTGCAAATTTTGTATTTTAAAATTGTAACAAAGCTAACGTAAATTACATTGCATGTAAGAATGCATGTTACTTTTTTTTTCAAAATTAGATCATCATATGTGATTGTCTGAACGAGAACGTAGGTGTAATAGAAAGAAGAAATAAAAATTTCTCTTGCCGCCGGCCACTCCCCGTCGCCCCGTCGCCCGGCCGGGCGCGCGTGCGTTGCGTCTCCGCCTGCCCTCCCTGCGCCGCGCGCCGGCCAGGAGAAGCTGATGCCTGGCCCCATATTACATTTTTCCGCGTTATTACCTGCGACGCGCCCTCCCACGCACCTCTCCCTTCTTCCCAATCACCGTTTCCTCCCAACACGTCCCGCCCTTTCCCTCCCGTCCCGATTCGTCCACTCCGTCTCGCACCGAGCCATTACATCCTTCTCCATCCAGTCCCACCCCATCCAATCCCTTCTCACACCCTCCCTCCTCCACTTCCCGCCTCTCTTCCACCCGTCCTGCCCATTCCCACCCCCGCCCGTCCTGCAACGTCCCGCCCCGCTCCCCGTCCCGCCTCGTCCAGCCGCGTCCCTCACCTCCCGTCCCGTCCCATTCCCCCATGTCCCACCATGTTGCGCCCCCCTCAATTCAATTCACTTCAATTCACTCCAATCGTCCCCACTTCTCCTGACCCGCCACGCTCCCCTCCGCGCCCCTCCGCGCCCTTCCGCAAATCTCGTGCGATTCCTCGCGCCCCTCCACCATTGTGTATCGTTGGCGATGATTTATTGACAGGGCTATTGGATGACGTGATGCAAATGGTAGCTGACTAGCGGGAAATAAAGAAAGACGTTTCAGGTCAACACGACGAAATACGAACGTTTTTTGTCACATTGGATGGCTTACTTCGTATTTACACAATTAGTTGCCTATCATCGTGAAACAATTCTCTTTTGAGAAATTGCTTGCTTGTCAGAAAGGATCAACATATTTTATGAAAGTTTGATTGAAAACTCTCGCTAAATAGGTTCTCACCCCTAGGGTAACAGGGCGGAAAAAATGATGAAAACCCCAATCGAATAACTTCCTTTAAAAAACAATTAGTATCGAAACTTTGCCAAGTAAATAAAAAAATTTAATTTGAATATTTAGATCACATTCAGTAGCTGTCTGGTTTCATCTTGTAAAATTGAGTTTTATTTAATGATATACCAATGAGTTTTTTTTATCTAAGAAACGCTTTAAAATGTTCATGTAGACGCAATAGAAGAAAAAATACTTGATATTGTTTTGTCATTTTAATTTGGAATTGTCATTTTAGTTGCACTCACTGCGTTGTAAATGAGCAGCAAATTATTCTTGAAAACCAAGAACAAAATAATTATTCTTTGGTTACATTATGCAACAACTTGTGTGATCCCCTCATACTAAAACTACACAAAAAACCACACAGGTATGAACATTAAGAATTCAATTTTAATAGATTAAAGTAGACTGATTTTAAATATTAGAACTCCTACGAGTATTTAGAAATGAAATGACAATGTCTTTGAAAAAATATAATAGAAAGTTTTAAGTAGGAAGGTGAGATGGTATAATTGTTTTATTTTTATTTTCATCGGCGTTCTCCTTACAAATTAATTTTCGTATAATCGATTGTGTTATTTTCTTACCTTAATGTGCGTTATTTCACTTTAAGGCTTAATATTTTTTGTTGGACACTTAATTGTGTAATTTTTTTGCTGTTCGTAAAAATGTTATTTCCATTTTGTCTTTAGTTTTGTGACTTGTCGTGTTTTTCATTAGCATTTTTTGTGAATAATTGTCCATCTTTCAAATGAACTGCAATAAAAATTTCAGCATTTAATTGAATATTGTAAAGTTTTTTTTTAACATTGAAGTATAGAAATTGACGAAACACATTTGAATTGTGGACTTAATATGTGTTAAAATAATGCTTACGATTAACATTCTACATAAAAATATATATTCAATGTTTATTGTTCCCTTGGATCTTAATATTCAATTAAAAAAAGACTGACTTCTTGTCGATTATTGACCGCTTTGTTCCTTTGGCCAAAACTTCATTTCATGTTCAATGGTTTATTAAATGAAAAATATTAACTATAATGAATTAATGCTACCAGCAGTATGTCCAGATCCCTCAAGTGTATATTCGTTACTTGATTTGAATATTCCTTATATTTGAATATGATCTGAATTGGGATAAATATCTCATAAAAGGATTTATCATTGGATGAAATCTACATATGCTTTAGCTGTCTGTCAAAAAAAATAAAAGACTGGCCAGCGGAAGTGTGAGAGCAACGGGCGGTGGAATGGGGTGGAGGCAGGAAAGTGGGACTGTTGGAAGGGGAGGAGAATGAAGCAGCAACAGCGGAAAGGCGACGCGAAAACGTAATGAAGAGAGGGCGCAAGCCAAAACATTACGCGAAGTGGGTTGGGTGGGAGGGAGGGCACGACGGAGACATTTTCGTTCCTCGCGTGCGAATTGGGGCCTCGGTCCAACACGTCCGGATGCCCGGTTTTTGGTGCGACTCGCCTCGTTAATGACAAGGTGGGCGCAGTGCCACGTGTTGGGGACTTGCCGCTCCCGTGGGAGGTAATCTCCCGAATGATGTGTCATCGATGTTACCCAGATGTTCAAACTTAAATCATCGACGTTAATAAATTATCTACAAAAACTATCGATGATTTAAAGCTCGTTTAGTAATCTGTGACATTAAATTCTTGCGCAACAAAATTTAATGTGACACTGGCCGTGTTTTTAATTTATAATTAACATTTAACTAAAATCAAAGTTAAATATATAAGAACAATTAACATATCCTGAGCGTCTAGGGTCATGTCGCAGTGTCATTTGTAATTTCAAGGAACAAAGGCGGGGGAGGGAACGAAAGGGGAGGCTCTGCAACTACGGCGCAAGCGTTGCCCCCCTCCCACGTGTGGAATACGATGAAAGACGCAGGAAAAGCGGTCTCGAGCCAGGAACACGAGTTTGCTCAATGAAGGTAGCCAATAGCCTACGATTGGATCAAACACAAAACCTGACCGTCGTATCAGGTTATTTTTTATATATTAACATTAGCAAAATTGTAATTATGGACATTTTTTATTTACAAAAGCAATACATAAAAAGTAAAAAAAACATAACCACAAATCTTCAACATTAAAAGTATCGACGCAAGTCGATGGTTAAAATATCGATGTTTCTATAAAATCGTGGATGACGCATGCTCAGTCCGAGCCGCCCGGGTGGCCCCCAGTGGGGGTCGGAGTCCGACGGGGCAAAGCCCCCCCCCCCAACCGCTGACTAAGGAGAAATTGAGAATGGCTTACGGCCCCTAGGCCAACCTAGAAACGATATGCTTCGAGTTAGGGAAGTGATCAGGGGACTTTTTCCATATAACTTTATGGTGTATCTTAGCCTGACAATGTTAAAATGTTGGTGACCGCCCCTCGTTTCTGAAGTGGCCCTGGTACTTTACGAGGCAGTAAAGTAGGCTGATGGCTCAAATACGCATCGCAAAACGTGTGCAACTGGGAAGATCTCAAGTTTATTCTAGAAAACAATTTTCTCTTCGGCACCGACGTTAAAGAAAGAGCGAACAGGGGTTAGAATGATAGTGATATCAAGCCCTCCGGATTCATCCAGGTGGACCCTCACTAGCGGGAGAATCGAGAAGGATGTCGTTCCAACTCGAGGGCGTAATTTGTGCCTTCTCCACAAACGTGACACTTTCTAGCCACTAGCTAGGGGAGTGCCGTGCCTCAGTTCCTTGGCCGAAAGATGCAAGCGTTGAGGATACAGGTTGCGTGAAAAAGACGAAAACACGGTGTTCACTTATGGTGTCGGGTAAAATAGAAATATTACAAAGTGACCTCTCGAAATCTGTTTACGAAATTCATTTAGACAGTGTGCGAGTGTTTTTGTTTAGAGAGAGGAGAGAGAGACAAAGAGATAGAGTGTGAAGAGAAACAGTGTAAATGTACAGCAAGAATTTAGAATGTTTTGAGAAACGATAATGTAATCGTGGAAGTGCCCCAAAAAATGTCTCAAATTCAAATTCTTCAAATTCGAACTAGTCCATATGTCCACTACTGCACATCCCCGTCCATTCATATGAAACTTGTTATGTAATGAATTCATAAAACTGGTCGAATGTTAGTTTAGTTTCGATACACAAATATCTACACAACATGATAATTTGTAGAGACGGATACAATTCTGCAAGATGAATTGGTGCAATGGATTATACCAGTGTGGTTCATCGCTTCGCTATATCTTAACGTACTCACGACGTGCTTATTATTATTATTATTATTTTATTCAGAAACTTTTTATTATTATTATCACTTCATCAAAAAAATATTAAGAATATTAACTCGCATGTATATAATTGTTTCAGAGCCCTTCGAGCAGTGAAAAGCAGTCAGTTCTCGGTCTTCGTGGCACTAGTTAAACGGTCGTAAGTACTCTTTGAATATAAAAAAACTGATTTATAATAATGTTTTGTGTAATTACATGGCAGCATAACATGATGAAGACATATGACAATCACTTATGCTAATTTAATGCTAATTTAAAATAATGCATACACAAACGAACCGAAAAATTAATGAATAAGGTATCACAAAGAATAAAACATACAGGCTGTTATGATAGTTTTAATGAATTCTATATTTCCGAAGCCAAATTATCGCATTCGGTAAGATTAGTTAGTGCGGAAAGAAAACATATATCTGAGAAAAAATGCTTACAAATAAACAAGGTGATTCGGTCCTCGTTGCTCATTTAAGATCTGGTGATAGAGTACACTAAGTCATTCATTGGTGCAAAAGGAAATAGTGTAAATGCTATTAAAAATGTTTAAAAAAGTTTGTGTCATTGGTAATTTTTTGCAAGAAATATAGCCCACATATTACATTAACTGTTGTTCCCTGTAGCTATTATTACCTTCTGCTCTAAAGAACATGAAGGGAGAGAGAAAAAAATAATTTTAAGTGTTATTTAGGATAGTTTATCAAATTTGCGTATATATCTAAAAAATCGCAGTTACCATGTGCAACAGGGGCTCTACAAGTGCTCAAAATGGCATCCTCCTGTGTAAACGCGAGGTAGACTTCTGTGCCGCACGGCCTCTGTGAAGCGCACAACTTTATTTCTGCTCCACGCTTTCAATGCGCCGAAGAAGGTTATCACGATCCTCGACGCTCCAAAACCGTTGAGTCCATGTTACAAGAGCACAAGCGCATAGACCAAAGGTTAACGTTCATTATTTATGAAGCTAAATGAGGAAAGTACCCAATTTTATCAAATTCAATCTGAACATTACATATGGAATATTGTTCCGGGGTATTAGTAACGAGGACTGAATCACGTTGTATAATTGCATTTTAAAATGGTCATGTAGTTATTATTACAGCTAAAAATGAGAAGCAATGTTCATAAGTTGTTTTAAAATATGGTGAAAGTAAAGAGAAAATACTATTATAAAAATAAAATTCTATTTTTAATTAAATTTTCTAGTTGCTAAAATAGTTAATTTTTTCTCCTGAAAATAAAATAATCTAAATAAGGATGAAAAATGTTTATTAATTCTTACCCAGTAATATGTGATTATTATTTGCTGCCATGCTATCAAGAATACTAGTCTCTATTACTACTCTCTTGTACTCATATCTCTGCTTCAGGGAGACAGAGAAGCAAGACTGTTCTATACTGCCATACATAAATGCAGGATATGATCGGGTGAGTACCTTCATGCGGTTTATTCGTATATTTCGGCAGTATTACGAAAATACAGTTAGTTGCAAATATCTGTGCAACATTCATTTAAATTGCTCTGCCTCAAAACACTACTTCAAAAAGAATTTCTCATTTTATTTTTGGAAGTAAAATGTATGTAGAGACTTTAAGCGATAACTCTGAAATGAGTTTCGAGACTTCCAGGTTTGGTTCTCAATCGCTTACAAAAATATTATACAAAGTTCAACGACACTAAACGAAAGAATTAATTATTTTATTTATTCCCTCAGCGCCATTCTATCATCTCTTGATCTTTCGTTAGAGAAAAAGGATGTAATTGTAATAGTATCGTTAGATTTTTCGATATTTTAGAATTTCTTTCTATTGTATATAACGTATTTCGATATAATATTTCCTTTAGACAGTGCGAATTTAAAGATTTAAAAGTACTTGATCTCGCCTATACACTTGGATTTTCCATACTGGTAAACAGTACTTCAACTCCTAATTTCCATGTTAGGAATTAGACAATCAGTTGGGTTGTGCCTTTTTATGTGTAAAAGTCCCGAGTCGAAATTATGAGAAAAAACTTCGGGCAGACCTCTCCAACTATTCATTCACTGGTATTCGACAATATCAGTACATTGTGATTGTGTAATTCAGTGTGAGGTTCGCAGAACTAACAAAAATTACAAAATGGAAAAATGTGTAGGAAAAGCAGAAATTTACTTTAGTACCTTTGCTCAAAGAAGATTTATTTGTAGTTAACGTAGATAGGAGTGAATTTATCAACATTATACCTTGTCTAAATCTAGGTTGGCTCGTTTTCTGAAAGTGTTCACAGATATTTTTCGTAGATTCGCTTCAAGTAAAGTTAAATTAAATTAATTTAAAAAAATGGCGGTATGAAAGTTTTTTGCAAATTAAAGGCCATTATAATTTTTTCTAATTTTAGCTTACAGATTTTCTCGACGATTTATATATTAATTACTAATAATTAAATTGTTTTTCGTCAATATAAGTTTCGCCAAACTAAAGAAGCTTTAAAATATTCTTATTACATTTAATATTATTAAAATTGTAAACACAATGAACTAATAAAATTTCATAAACCAGTTTAAACAAATGAATATTGTAGACTATCAAGATGCCAATTTTCATGAGTCCATCGGCATGGCTGATTCTCAGTGCGTTATTGGCCGATTCGCTAACAGATGACAAACAAATCACACCTTAATCGTTTTGGTCGAAGATACAGTTAGGTCTATAATAATGTTTGTTACTATTTAGTTTCGGAACATTCTGCTACTATCGATAGTTTACACTAGGCAACCCGCCGAACATCGCGGCATGTCGCATATCGAAAAATGCTTCTCCAACAGACCAGGCCTCCGAACAGCGCTGCGATTGTTTGCCTGACCCCATTGACATAATTTAAAACTCTGACATTTTATCGTCGACTTATCAAGAAAATTAAGTTTTCCTTCTTGCGAAGCATAGAAGCTAACAAATATCGCAACGCCGTAGGTGATGCTCACTTTGCTCTTAAGTAGCAGCTACATCTGAAAGTGTAGCTAAGCACTTTTTAAAGAGATTTAACTCCAAAAGGTGTTGGTAAATTGTTTACAGGTATGAAACGAATCAGTTGATGTGTGCTTTAGTCGTCTCTACGTTGTCCTCTCAGAGAAAAGTATATGCTCGAAGTAGTAAAAACCAAAAGTCCGGCCTTGTGTACGTCGCAATGCCGTACTGCGTCGGCTGAGGGCTGGAGGAGCGCGGGCGCCGAGGAGAGGTCGCCCCGCCCCGCGGCGGGGGCTGCGATCACGCGTGCTAGCGAGCGCGCTGCGTGCGTGCGCGGGGGCGGGGGCGCGCGCCTGTGCGTGGGCAGCGAAGGTCAGACGGGCAATTTGGTGCGCGGCGGGCGCGCGCGGGGCGCATCGCAATGAGCGCCGGAGGAGGCGGTGACGCGCCGCGCCGCGCCGCGCTGCCGCCGCCGCTGCCTACGTCATTGCCGCCGCCGTCGCCACCGCCGCTGCCACCACCGCAGCCACCTCCCCTTACCATCATAGCCAACGACACCAGCGCCGCTACAAACGCCGCCTCCGCCCCCTCCGTTCCCTCCACCTCATCTGTCCCCTCCGTAGCCCCCTCCCTTCATCGTCATCGCCACCACCGCCGCCGTCACTGCCTCCGCCCCCTCCACAGCTTCCACCGCCCCCTTCAACGCCACTGTCACCGCGCGATTCCTGTCGTTCTGCTGCCAGGGCCGGCGCCGCGACCAGGGATCCACTGGCGGCGACGAGAAGCTGCGCGCTCGCGAGTGAAATGCGCCTTTCAATGCTTTTGGGAAGGATGTTTTCGAACCTCGCGGAGCGTGATCGGGGTTTAAAATGCCAAAACAAGCTGACACCAAAATATCTTTGCTGCGAGCTACGCTTGGATTTTTATGTTCACAATGGATAACTAATTTTAAATTCAAATTCTCAAATTTCATTAAATCTACAAGCTTGTTGATGTTATCAGTTGTTATATCATATTTTCGCAATATTATTGCACTTACTTTGATTTTCGAGAAGAAGAATCAATTTATCCCCTTTTGAGTTGAAAATTGCGATTTTACAGTAGATTACTTCTTTTATTATTTTGATCTACGTCGGTAATTGCATTCGGTATTCAGTAATTTACTAGTCATTAGTTTAAATTTAAACCATCATCGTTCTTTCCGTAATATTTGAGTTATCTTCATGCATCTGAAAAAAATTGATATTGTTTGATGAGATTGCTTAGATCATCAAAACAATTTCCAACAATCCGAGCTCATAAAACCGCATAAAGAGCGAGTATAAAACCGAGCTCATCAGTTGTTTTTTTTCGTAACTGTCTGCCACTGCTCTTTCCACCGTCCACGACTAGGCATATAGCCCCAGATGTATAGTCTGTTATATCCTGTCCTTAGGTTCTGTTTCCTCCTCTACCCGAATCATTTCACTGTATCGATGTGAGTCTTCCGAGATCAATTTTTTTCACCCGTATTTCATCCGCAAATTCAGACTTTTACATACTATTATTCCCTTCTTCCGTTGCTGTCACCTGTTAGCTTCTTGCGAGCCATTCCTCCTACACCTCCATTGCCGACTGCTCCCTCCGCCACGCCCATCACGGAGCAGCGAGTAAAGCTACCAGCTCAACTGAAACCGCAGACCCCGGCACAGCTGTGGTCTCAGCCACTCACTGCAATCTCGTCTGTCCCTCCCCCCCCCCACGCGCCAGCAGAGCCACAGAAGCCGCTAACACCCCCACCGCGGCCATCGCAACCGCACTTCGCCACACCACGCCGTGCCACTCAATCTTAAATTAAAAATAATATTCCCCGGAAAGGAGTTTTAATATAACTAGTTTTTCTTATAAGCGTACACATCTCACAAAATTCTATATATAAATATGCCATATTAAAAGACAGTGTTAGATTTTGGTGTGATTAAAAATTTACTTGCCAGCAATGCTGCAAAAATTGAAATATTATGCGATCTTCGAACGAAATTTGTGAAAACAAAATGTTATCGTGTAATCGTATGGTATTTTCATTTTCGGCAGCCTAGCGCGCCTGTACTACGCGGTTGAGGAGTGAGGCGTCCTTTTGTTACTTCGACACAGTAGACTGCGCGTTGTGTTTGGGCAACCGCGGCGCAGACGCTTGCGGCAGCCGTCGTCTGCACCGAGGAGGCTGCTGGTTCGAGTCCTGCGATCACATGGTCGTATTTGTGATTATCCTTCACCACCCATCATCATCATCCTATCACCTCATATTTCATTCTTCAAGGCATAACAACCTTGTGCTGAGGTATAGAGTTGAAAAGCTGATCATATGGAAATAACGTACGTTAATCGCGTAGCGTGGCCAATAATAATAAAAATAAAATAATAATCAATATAATAACTCTTTAGTGTGTATGAATATGTCTCACCAAATTCCTTCGTATACACACTTTACATTTATTAACATATCTGATTCTTCGCTCAGGATCTTTAGTTTACATGCAAGATAGTGAGTTGATAAACCGCTATTGACGACGCTATGGTATTGACGACGACGAAAGCGAGTGATAGAGCAAAGAAGCGGGAGAATAGTTGGAAAGTGTGTAGTGTTACGCATTCGACGTGAATTGGATCGCTGTGAATACTAGAGATGAAAAGCTGGTCGCTGAACTACGCGTCACCCTTCTGTGACGTAGGCAGTGCCGGATTATTGTCTCTAAGAGGTCATAAGTAGGTCCACATTAAGAGGATTCCCAATAGTATAAAAAAATTAACAAAGTTTGTCAATATGAATATGAATCTAAATTACAACCTTATAATTCAAGAAAATGTTATTAATATTTGTTAATATTTAAGAATATATATTATAAAAATATATTTATGAAACTATTGTAAGCTGTGTGTAGAGCAGTTACTATAAGAAGGGGCCAGTTTGATATGTCGGGAAACAAATAATCGTGATGCAGTGAGATGACACTGCAAGAGGTAGTAGCAAAGTCATACACAAATGAGCTAACTGTAAATAAACGCGCTGACAAAATGAGTACATGGAGATTACCTGCATTTATTTACAGAGTCCTTTGCCAGTTCATCAGCTGTTTCGGTGTCCTCCAATCGGGAGGTTGAACGTCACCATAGTGACGTCAATGTAGTGACTTGTAAGCACGTAATTGGTTGACACTGTAAATACGTCGAAGTCTGTGTTTCCGGCTGTGGCCAAGCTGCAGCGGTGAGGGCGGGCCCTTCTTATAGTAAAGTGTGCCTTGGGAGGCGTACGCGAGTGGTTCGGCTGCTTGCGAGCGTTCGGCCCGTGTGGAAGCGCGACGGGGCCCAGTGCGCGCGGGGCGCGACGCGGGGCGGGGCGGGGAGCCGGCTGTGACGCGGCGCGGCCGCCGCGCGCGCGCGCTCCTGTGCCGCAGTGGGTGGTGGAGGTGACGAGCGCGGCGCCGTTCGTGAGCGAGCTGCTGCAGATGGACACGTCGGAGGTGCAGCCACGCAAGCAGCTCTGGGCCTACCACTCCTTCCTGCTGATGGCCGAGCGCTCGCGCGAGCTCTGCATCATCACCGACTACTCCCATCACATCGTGGTGCGTACGCGGGCCGAGCCAGGGCCTGGCGGGCGAAGCGCTGCGTAGGGGCGCATGGGCGAAGACAGGGGCCCACTACGCTTCTTGACCCCTGTGCCACCATCTAGGGCTTCTTTTCCATTAAACCTTTTTATTTGCAAATGACATATTTCACTAGTAAATAAATTAAACATAATGCAAGGAGAATGAACTACCTTTGATGACACAATTGGTGTAATGTTGAACCATATGCAGGATTGCCGGATGTTTTGGAGACCCTCTTCTCCAAATGTGTGTACCATTTCCTCACATTCTCAGCTTAAAAAGGAGAAAATCAGAAATAGGTCATATTTACGGACATAAAATTGTTTATTACTTTACGAGGCCCCTGTCTAAATTTTCACCTGTCCCTCTTCCCTGAGCGAATGCCTATCCTAAGATTAATCTGTGTATTGATAAATGAATATGGTATTTATGAATCGAGTTACAAAATTTACAAATGTTACATGTTTTCAAAGGAAGCATATGATTTTGAAAAATACCAAACACCACAAAAATCCGATTAACCTTCAGTACGTTAAATGCACAACACAATGTTTCCAACAATTTAAAGATTTAGTAATAGTGAGGTTTTGATAGATCATACGACCAACGTGGTATTGAGAACACTAGACGTTGAATTTACGAGTATAATTAAATCACATGCCGAAAATTCTTTTTGCGATTCATTCAATAATGGGCACTAGTTAAACACTATTATTAAATTATGTAATTAACATTATGAATAAAATATTTAATATTGTGTATTCAAAATTATATGGAATTTTAGGTTATTTAAACAAAAACAAGTATTTGAAGGCTATGTGGAAGATAAAGGCCATTTACAGGTCTGAGCATAGAAATAATTAAAGTAGATATTACCAAATGCTAAAGTTGCTTGTTTTACCTCTGATTTTTTATATTCTTTTACTTTTCTTACGGCTGATAGATGAAACTTTCAAATCGGCGTATATATTTTGATCTCTTGCCTCTGTTTTTAAGGCCAGAAACCAGAGACACGAGAATCTCGCCTCTTTAAACTCGATGAAGTGCCTGCTAATAAGAAAAATCAATTATGAACGACGAAGTTAGCTTCAAAATTTCATCAGGGATTAATCTCCTTTATTGCCAGCTTTTCAGATCGAACCGATAAAACGTTCAACATTCGTAATCTATTGAAACCGCAATAACCATTGAAAATAATTCATGTTCTTTCAAACTTCAATTACATTCAACTGCCATATTTTATTTACTGAAATTGCGTTTAAATGAATGTGTGCATATCTAACGCTCATTTATATTATGACGATATAAATGCCATTACATAACAAGTAAAACTATTGGGTCCTGGCCGTCTTTTAAAAAACCCCAATTTTTCAATTTAAAGATTATTATACATAAATCAGTCAAGACCATTCATTATTGTATGGTCGAAGTAGAAGACATCACAGGGAACAAGTCATTCAAATCGCAATTGTATAGACTGCACTTATTTTAGATATTGTTCTTTATGTGTACGACCATACAGTCGTGAGTCAGGAGTAATATACATTCGTTCTCATGATAATAGACAACTTTTATTAGTTCTGGGCAGTGTGTAAAAATGAACATTAGCTTGAAATAAAAGTCCATTAAACTTAAATGAGCTTACTGAACACAGCTTTTAATGCCCTCAAACTCGCACGTGAGATCACATACATTCCATATTAGCACGTGCTTTTTTCTTCGGTTGGATTTTTTCATGGTTCTCATATGAATATTAACGACATCATTAAACAGTGCGCGCATGTTCTTTCCGCCCTGCTAGCAGAGCCCTGCGTAATATTACTTTAAATCGTGGAGTATGGTGTTGTTGATCGAAAGCTTTTTCTACTGTACTTTTTTCAGCGAGCCGCTTGCTTTTCGTGTTCCATTACCTTTTGTGTAATATATTTTAAAGTAAACTAAGACATAGTCAAAGGAATATTATCAGAACGAACTCGATGTGCCCGGTTGTTCTAGAAGAGATTCGAGATTTAGAAACAAATATTCGCTGTCCTCTCACCGCCTGAGGCGCCTCAAGACATTAACTGATGTGCATCATTGCAGTGCATCATTGTAGCGCCTCTGACCGGAAGGTTGTACGGCTGGAGTCAGGGCGCTGACAAAATGTTTGACACTAGCTACGAAGTATCATCGTAGAATTCAGCCGCTTCCTCGAGGAGAATTCTAGCGGTCGGATGCTCTAAGCCGATAGCTTTCCGTGCTTTTTCCGATCTCCTACAGGCAAATGCCGGATCAGTTCCCTATCAAACAGGCAATGGATCACGCGCAATCTTTCCTCCCTCTTGCTTGTTCTGTTATGATCCCTTAATTACAGACATTTACACTTAAATACACTTTACTACTGCACATGTCGGAATACCAATCAGGGGCATTTCTTCCGTCTGGAGAGGTGCCCCTCTGGTTGAAGGTATCTGGCTGGGAACAAACACCAGCTGACGTGTACGTCAGGGCCGGATCTTGACATCAGGAACGTTTCCATATCCTCTGTCAAAAACAAGCAATACACTTACGAGACTAATGGACCTAGCAGGTTTCGCGTTTGTGAACACTGTGAAATAAGCAATCACTGCTCTTTTTTATTCTCGAGTTGTTTGTTCTGGAACTCATTTCATTCTCCTTGTTCATTCTTAAGGTTTCAAGTGAAATCTGCTTTGAAATTAATATTGAATTCGATGCAAATTCAGGATAAAACAAAGTAATTAATATTATGAATTAATTTATTTTTGACATTGAAAAATTACAGGTTTGAACGGTAAAAAGAAAGGATATGCCGCTGCCAAAATTTATCAAGTGAAATTCAAATAAATTTTATCAAATATATCATTGGTTTACAGATATTCCAAGAGTAAGGATCATTTAGACATACTTAGCAATTACATAATATTTTACAAGGAAAAAGCGTATTTAGAGAGTATTCACAACTCCCGTTTTCTCTCGTTTTTCAATACACACACATTCCAATTACCGCAATGAACGAGCGCAGTGGCGTGACGAAGTGGTGCGCGCGGTTCGTTGCAGTACGCGAACCGCGCGGTGGAGCGGGCGGTGGGGTCGTCGGCCAAGGAGCTGTACGGCCGCTGCGTGTACGACCTGGTGCATGTGGACTCGCGCGAGCGCCTGCTCAACGCGGCGGTGAAGGGCCGCGAGTGGGAGGGCGTGGCGACGGTGGCGCCGCGCAGGAACTCGGAGACCATGATGCTGCAGTGCCGCGTCATGCCCAACGGCGCCGTCGGACGGTAAGTACCACCACTACCACCACCTCCAACACCACCAGCACCACCTCCACCACTAGCACCACCACCACCTCCATCACCACCAGCACAAGCCCCATCAACACCACCACCACCACTAGCACCACCTCCACCACCACCAGCACCACCTCCACCTCCAGCACCTCCACCACCACCACCACCACCAACACTACCACCACTATCACCACCACCACTACCACCACCACCACCACTACCAGCACCTCCACCACCACCAGCGCTGCAGGCGCGCCTGACGAACGCGTTGACTCGCCAATTGTGTCTTTTAGTGTGCTCTCACTAAAAATGCACACCAAGATCAAACTATTCATTAGTAGAAAAAGTTTCGTGATCCCATAGGTCTGAGGAATTACTTGTTTTTTGAGTTATAATTACAAGTACAAACTAAACATCTTTAGCATTCTTAATTGAATTTACATTGATGTGGTGTCTCACCGTGCTTCAATTCTTTAAGAAATTCCATATCTAGTTACTTACTTATTATTTATAAATAGCAAGTTCAATGACACATTGAGAGACATGAGCTCGCCGACGATGATCCTAACTGATTGCTCCTGAATAGACATGGCAGTATAGCCATGAAGCCGTGGGCAGACTCAGAGACCTGCCCCACGAGTGACATTAGTAGTATTGTTGATGTACCTCTGCGTGAAACATAAGACGTATCTAGAGCTTGACCTGCGGATTGCGTCACATGTTCCCCCAATCTAGTGTCTGTGTGACTTCGAAACTACAGTTTCTCCCTAGGATGACACCAGTTGCCCTCATAAAGATGGAACTTAAACAATTTATTAATCTTTTGTTTTCAATATGGAATACAGTTTTGACGTAGAGGGTGGTATGTGTATAAATGACACAAATGGACCAGAAAACATCTCCCTGTTTCGAGTTAATGAGCCCTACGACGTCAAGCCATTTGTGGAGATTACTAGAAGTTAGGGAAAGGGAGTAAAATGGAAACCCCAGCAACGACGGGAGCTGAATATAACATATGTAAAAATCTGACGATTTGAAAACATCAAACATCTAAAGAATTCAAACATTCTATAAAATCTTAAAAATATTGAGTAGATGTAGGTTTTCGAAATAAATTTTATCCACTCGTGATCATATCAGTGACTCAATGAAAATTGATAAAAAACACAATCCCCTCTCTATTTATTTGACTTGTGAAGAATTGAGAATGGGGCACTGATTTCATGCACATGAACTTCTTAGGCCGTTAGTCACATAAGTGTAGTGCATGTAACTCGGGAGGCGGCGGTGCGGATCTGGGTAGAACCGGATTCGGCCTGCTCCAGGCGGTCTTAAATAACGGGAGGCCCCGTCTTCTTCACATTTACTTAAGAAGAGATAAGAGTGGAGTGTGTGGCCAAAAAACTGAAACATCGATTACTCATCGCTGTCAACTGAGTCCTTTCTACAGAAGTAGGATGCCTACACACTTAAGTGAGGTGCATAGAGTATGTCAATCTCGAAAGTCTCGTGTAGATTTCAATCGAAGAGGGCTGCTAATCTCATACGTATCTGAAGGCTGAAATTATTTGGGGGTAACATTTATATCGTTTTAGCTTCCAAGTAGTATGTCGCATTTTGTGACAGGTACTTCAAAAGAATAAATACTCGAGTTTGAATGTAGTAATATTTACAAATTATTATGAACAAAAGTAATTTCAAAAAATCACAGTCATGAATTTAATAAATTATTCTTGTTGATAAACATTTTTCATAAAGGAATACTTAGATCAAAACAGAAATATAATTAAGTTTGTATGAAAAATTAAGTAGCTTTTTAGTGTTATATAACATTTCACTACTCAAATTTTGATCCTCTAAATAAGTGCAAAAGTGCGCATGAGTGCGCATAATTCCGATTGTCAGAGTGCTAATTGTCGAACTGATACTGGAGAGATTCATAGACTGGTTTAACGTTGCTGGAAAACTATTAATTTCTCCCAGCAAGGTCCACATTATGTGCTTCTTTTCAAAAAATTAAAAGTCATGAAACATTAATTGAGGAGAAAAGAGGTTTTCCCAAGAACATTCTTTGAATTTATTCATGTGTTGTCTAAGCACATATGTTATGTTGGTCTTCATTTCATTTGTCTATCCGTTGAATCATTTCTCTCTTTAATTTTTAACGCTCCCCCCCAATCCCACGGGCAATATTATGGTTTCGCCTCTTAGATGTAGCCCTTATGTACGTCACCGGCTGCGATAGCTCAGCGTCAACATCATCGTTGACCGGGAGGTCGTATTCTCCCAGTCATGGCGGTGGAGAATTTTCGACATAAGCTGCTTAGATGGGTCGAAGTCGACCAGCCTGCAGAGAAGGCTTCTCTAATCGGTCATTTTTCGTGATTTCTCCTGTCAATACCAAGCGAATGCCGGAGCAGAAATGTATCAAATGGGCCACCCACCGCGCGTGATATATTTTCTTTCTCATCCTTAGAGCTTCCTTCCCCTACACACACACGCACGCATAGTCATACGCACTGCAATTCCAAACACGTCGGAAGACCAGTTGGGATCTTCCCAGAGTGTTTCCCCTGTGAGGGAGGTGGCTGTTGGATGAGATACCTGAAGGTGGAAAAGCTCATACGACATAGCCTCAAGCCTCTGCGCGCGCTCCATCTCCCAGGTTGTACCGAGCACTTCACGTATGGGGCCATTTGCCTGAGCAGATCATGTGCCCGGAATCAACACTCGCCGCCGTTGCGTGAGCGTTTCACCCATTCGCCTTCTTGCGCTGCGAGGCCTCAGCCCGATTTGGTGACTGTCGCGTAACCTGAAACACTTAGGACCCGGTTCTAATGGGGTGAGATGAGATATGACGAATAAAAATTGTGTGTATAAAGAAGAAACAAAACCAGATGTATTAGCCACTGTATGTGTAGTTTTTGAGAGTATATTTTATGTAGGCATACTTAAAATGGTTGTTTTTTATATAATTGAATTATAAAAATAATAGAAAGGATGAATCTCACAAGAGACATAGATTTAGGAGTAGTAGCTTGATTAATATCAATACATTATACATCATACTATAATAAACATTTCGAAATGTATATAAATAGGTTTATATTTCATTTTAAAATATAGATGATGTATATAATATTCCCATACGACCTTTTAACGTGCCAAAATATATTTTAACCTGGGTCATGAACATAATAAACGTTTTCAAATATTGCCCAGCCTACGAGTGTTTGATGTATTATTGTTGAAGTACATTTTGTCCTAAACATTTAACACCGTACCAAATGTTCTCACCACTACTCACTTGAAAATCTCTGGCTACAAACTGGCCATGAGGCAGTGCAGGAGGGCAGCGCGCGGTGAGGGTGGCAAAGTGACATCCGGGTGCCTCGCATTGACGCACAGAACCCAGGGGATACAAATGAAACGGTGGATACCATAATAAAACGCAAAGTATTTGCACCAGATCGTAATAAATTTATGAATACCTGTAAATTACTTCAGGATTTTATTGTGATGATTTTTTTTTTTTATTTACAAAGAAAATGTCACGTAAAACCATTGAACACAATTATCGAAGTCTAAAAGAATACATGAAAGGATTGTCCAGGATGTGGCCTGGTGATCGTTCGCATGATTGGATGTGGTGAGTGGTGGTGCGGTGCGGTGTGGTGCGCAGGGCGCCGGCCAACCTGGTGTTCATGCTGGAGCCGCCCCCGAAGCGCGGCTCGGAGGCGGGCATGTCGGGGCGCGGCTCGGTGCCGTCGGTGCGGCGCGGCTCCGCCGACATGCGCTCCGTCTGCAGCGACGGTGAGTGGCCCGGCCCCGGCCCCGGGGCGGCGCGGGCGGCGGCAGGGCGGCGCGCAGGGGCGGCGGGCGCGGCGGGGCGGGCCCAGGGGCGGGGGCGGGGCGGGCGGCTTGAGGACACGCAATGCACAGAGGGCCTGCCCGCGATCACCCATCTCCCACGACCCCCCCCCTCTCGCACTCCACGTCCTCTTGTGTTTGCATTCCAGCTCCCCGGTGTGCCGCATTCCATGTGGTTTGAGTCATTAGTGTTAGATTTGGGGTTGTTTATGGGCATGCTTTTTTCTTGATGGTTTGAATGAATTCACTTAAATGCAGTAGTTGTGATAGATTGATACTGTATCTAACATGGTCAAATTTTATGTGCTCATGTTATTTAGTGCAGTAGTAATGAGGGAGGTAAGTACGAGTGCCATTTTCTGATCTCTTTTTTCTGCTGTTTACCCTTTTGGTGTTGGTTCTTTTCGTTTAGCAGTAGCAGACACTCTGAGTGTACCTTCCAATTTATTGCTGTGTAGATACTTCTTTATTAAAACATGTCAACGCAAAAGGTAATTGTATTGTCACCCAGTTCTCTCGATATATGTGTATAGGATATGTTTTTCAAATATAAATGTTTAAGTACGGCAACTTAGAAACGAAAGAACAGAACATAAAATGGTCTGAATACGTGTATTTTATTCCTCTAATCGGTAAGTTGTCTCTCAAGTGGCATGACTAGGTGTTACTCTTCCCATTATTCTTCCAGTAAGAAGAGGAGTCAGTGAATTATTTAATCTTCTTTAAAATAATTTGAAAGCCTTCAATGCTGTTTTCAATACTTGTTAAGAACTCCATCCATTACATTATAAAGGTTTTCATTCAGGTGAATGTTGGTGATTTATTAGAATTTCAAAGAAAAAAATCGTTTTAATTACATTTACATTGTTCGTGTTCAGAACAATATTTTTACTTTTATGAAAGGAAAAATGAATAGAAAGCAAAGTATGGTTATTGCAGGTTTCCCACAAGAAATAACACTATTATCACAATAAATTAATAAAAATAGTAGCTAAGAATATTTATTAATAAATGTCTTTTCATGAATACCCGCTTCTGTTTTATTTAATATCAGATTAAGAAAATATGTTTCTAATTTTTCTGCACATTCATTTCAAAAAATAACTACTAAATACTGGGAAAATAATTAAAAGATAGAAAAATTTGACGTTTATGACGAAAAATTTCTTAAGTGAAAAAAACTTCTGTCACAGTTTCGGACAGATCAGATGCTTGGCCAAATTATTTCAATACTTATTTTTCTTTATCAAAGAGTATATTTTGATACTTTTTTTGTTTCATATTTTTTCTGCAAGCCTTCAGAGTTTCTTCTGTGTCTATATCAGCAATTATATTTATTCCTTTGTATGTCTGTGTCAATTTGTCATTTTCTCGCGTTTCTGCATTACATATACTTTTTTATGTGTGAATATTGATTGGCATCATGTGGTTTAACCAGCCTCCATTATTTCATCATTTGTGTCCCTGGACAATCCCAAATTGTTTTGGAAAGCAAACACAATACGAATATTTACTAATGCACTAATTCGACAATTTAAAATTTGTTCTTTTTCATTTCAAAATACTACAACTGCGTAGATGCTTTTATTTTCAAGTGAGAGTAGCAATTTAAAATCTCTGTGTGTGTTGGTTTACTCATTACATAATTGTTGCTTTTGTAGCCTTTTATATAATTTTTGCTTTTTTTATTACTATCACTGTTATTCGTATACATTTTATGCTGTTGTCACCTTCTTAAAATGTTTAAATGCTTTAGTTAGATATTTTCCATTTAATCTTCTACCATTCTACATTTTCGTAAAATTATGTTTATTCCTTAATACCTTTTGTTATTTAAAACTACCTTCATCTAATTACCCGCTTGAGACTTTGACTATATTAAATTTTAGTTTGAAAAGATTTTTCACCTTCGTTGGATTTAACCTTTATGTTAATCATGCAGTATTTATTTGTTTTTCATTTAACTCTCTTGTGTACTGGCGTGCGCATGTTTATTTTCTTATTATATTTACGCACTTCGAAATTTTCTCTTTTACCGAGTCGCGTTTGATATTTGGTAAATGCCTTTTTTAAAATGCAATTTCCCTTCCGTAAAGCATGCCGCGACTACTCTTCATTACTTCCCTCTGTGCTCATAATTAGTTCTTTTAGAGCATTCATTTTGATTCTCCCTTTGAAAATCAAGTAAATATCATTTCGATGCAGGTCTCTATTAGCGGCAGGGGCAAACGCGAGAGCCCGGCAGAGACAGCCGTGGAAAGGAACAGAGCTCGAAATCTGAGTGGTCTCCTAAGAATCGAATGAACCGCGGCAAGTTAAAGAAGATACTGCATGGACTTGCATTTAAGGGGGATAATAATGAATTCTTTTAAGGCTTAGTTGTTGGTTTCTTTCAATACAGGTTCAAGGTTGGTTTCAAGATTTTCTTACAAAAGTTTTTCTATTGCAATGGATCCGAATACATTTTACAATGTAACAAATGAACAAGATAAGAACATTAGTAACAATTAAAAAGCCTTCCAATAGGTACGGAGGGAATACTTCATATCACACAAAGTTTCTAAAAGAACTTCAATTAATTCAATTAATATTTCTAATGTCATTTCAAAAAACGATCCTCGACTGATCCACGAGGCACTGGACTTCATAAATATTAGAATACATTATTATCGTAATAAAAAAATTCAGTGGGAAATTGTATTATGTTTTCGTGATAAATTGTGTTTTTCTCCGGCGAATTGAATATTGAAATTAGTATTAGATTAGATACATCTTACAAAAATTCATAATGTTTTCGATATATTAATCTGTTTATGATGACAATGAGTACCAATTTAGCATAATTGGGCCTGTCTATTGGATTCTTAACAGGAAAACACTCATGTTTACTAGACACTAGGAGCTTGATTAAACCACAAAAAGTCAGCAATGATTGATTTGTTTGATACATGTACAGTGATTCCGAGTCGAAGATTAAAGAGCGAGAAGCATGGAACATCGTTTTTAATAGTACGGTGATCCCAAAGAAATGGGAACGCAGGCAGCAACACATTACAACGTGTTGCAAATGTTACATAATATTTGTATTCCATTAGAGTTTGTTGATAATTTAAAGAAACTCACGATCTCAAATGTTATGAGGCGAAAACCTTAATGTAAACCTCCGTAAATGAAGCAACATTTTGTGTTAAAATATCTGGTTCATAGTATCAAAAATTAAGTGATAAATGCAAGTCCATAAAACAGTAAATAATTTCAAATTAGTATGGTTGTATATAAATTAAAATAGATGTAATTATATTTATTACAATTAATATGTATGTATTAATGTACAAAACTGTTTAAACTCTCAACAATAGAACATCTAAACCTCGAAAGTCTAAAAAGTTTGACACGTCGTTGTATAAAATTTATCCATTAACACTACTTTTTTATTAATCAAAATAATCATCTTCCCCATTTAGATGTTCTCTTTATATTAATTATTTGAAGGGCAAACAAATACACTTCGTCGATTGTTAGCCAATAGATGACGTACCGTATTTTTCAGTTTGTGTGGGAAGATATAATGATGTAATTCTTATAAACTCTTTATGTTATCTGATGTTGCATTGCTAACATCACAATTTAAGATTGCCGAGATTAAAAAAAAAAACAACCAACCTAAAATCGTTCGTGCTAAAGAACGCAACAGTCGGAGCAAGTGACATACGCGCATGATCTTCTTTATCTTGTCGCGTGTTGAAAGCAACTGATGTGAGCCCTGTTGGTGCCTGGCCGCTTGCGCCGCCGCCCCCCGGCCCCCTGGCCCCCCCGGCCACCCGTGGCGTCGCCCCGCGTAACGCGCGCCCCTCTCCGTTTGGCCGCAGAGCGCAGCGTCTGGGCGATCTGTCGGCGCTGCTTGTGTTGCCGTCGCCTGCGCAAAGGACGCCGGCGCTCGTCTGCCGTGTTCGGAGACCAGGAGCCTGCCTACCCCTCCAAGAAACGTTCCTGCATAAGTGCGGATTCCGGAGATAGTATGATATTGTAATGATATATGATGTCACTTCCCGGCCGGTAGCCACGTTCCGATTGGTCTCTATGTTGACGGAGTGCGATCCCCAATGACAATATGAGTACAGTTTACAAATATCAATCATTTGAAGATCGGAAGTCACGATATTTGTTTGGCCATAGGCGCTAATTAAACTGTCATAATTCACATTTACTAAGAACAACTCGTAGATTTTTTGCCACAATTCCATAATTTCCCTCAAATTCATTGAATCGTTGTCTATGTGCTATTTCTTTTTTATTATTTTGCATTTTATCTTATATTTATTTGATTGGGAAATTACAGTACCAGTTGTAGTATAAATGACGAGTTAATTAACTTATTGTTAAATACAGGCGGGGGTGAATCCAAAACGAATTTCGGGAGAAGCAAACTGCTGCTCATACATATTTTTTAAATATTTTTAAGCTAATATCGTGATATAAAAACGAAAATTTATTGTGGTATGAATCCTTTGAATTTAATATGATCAATTGTTTTGATTAAATGGGAAAAATATTTTAAAAATAGATTCCTTAAAGCAGTAAGCATGGCAACCATGATATCGAACTCGAATTCATCACTGAGGGAACTAGTTGTAAATTTTACAAAAAGTAATTGAAATTTTTATACCTATTGAATTTTTTTCGATTGAATTATTTCAGCGCTTTAGCATTGAAGTTCATGTCAATGTTGATTTTTTATTTCACTTTGTCGACATGATTTGACTCGCACCGTTCGTTTCTCTGTTTACATTTACAGATTCTTTAAAAGAGTGAACTTCAATGATACAATGAGTTTTAGTGTTGGCATAATTCATATTAATTTATAAAATATATGAAAAGGTAGCCACACAATATATCACGTTATGACTAATATTCCGGATGGATCGCATTTATTGAGAATTAATAATCTAATCAGTGAGATTGAAATGTACCACAATGTGAAATATACTACCATTTGATAGTGTGTTGGATTTAGTATATATGTATTTGCTAATGTTAATCTCATGACCACGTGCGCACTGTATGGTTGCGGTGACACGTGGAACTGAATCGTACGATGATACAAGAAAATGAACATAATCTTTTTTGTTATGAGGACAAAACAATTGAAATTTAAAATAAGTTCACCATCGAATATAAAATATATTTTAGAATCTATGTTCCCGCTACTAGTTACATTTTATGTCTAAAATCCAAATGAAATCTAATACAGAAAAGGATATTTTACATCAGGAAACAGCCTCAGTCTAGCCACTTGAAGACTACGAGCACAATATATTCGCATAAATTATGTTTTTCTATACTAATTTTCAAAGGTTTGCTTTGTTTTGAACGTGAACACGGCAATTTAAGACACCTGAAATATTATTTTAGTTAATATTTATCTATGTATATAGAGTACTTAGAATTATAACAATCGCCTTCTCTTACCTTCTTCAATTTATCTTTAATTGTTGCCGAAAACAAACATTCCTTCAAATTGAAATTTATATCTAATATCTCGAACCAAAGCTGAAAAATGACGACTAACAAGTATATTGGAATCTAATACAGTAGACCACCGGTAATTCGTACTAATTGGGGGTGTGGTCTGTTCGGATCCGGAGATGTTTGCATTAACCGAAAAAAATGTACCGTACTTGTACAAATTCATCTATAAGGTTACCAGATGAGGCGACGTGGCGATGCGATCGCACCATCAATCAGATTCAGTTCCTCGCGGCACAAGAAGATCACCGAGTTTGCAAGTTCTTCTAAGTGAAAATGAATCCTAAATAAACAGCGGATGTACATCGTAGTTACCAGTGCAATATACGTTTCATTTCGACTTCTTGTGTTTCATTAATAAATGGTTCTTCAGTTCTACAATAATTATCAAATCCTTTCCTTTCACTACAAATAAGCATTTTATTTATTTTGTATATTTTTCCTCTATCCTAAATTTTGTTCGAGTTATACAAAATTTCGAATTTCTGGGATTCGAATTAACGAGGTTCTACTGTATTACAAAAATACTTTGCAATTAGGTCATATTGTTCTATTTTATGCATTACCTTTTCCGTGATATATCGGGTAAATTTCTTCTAACTTTAGAAAATTGATATTAATTATTAAATGTAAAACACTAGGATTCTCATGGTCACTTCGTTATTTAGTTTGCAAAGGTTACTCACTTCTCAATGACTGGATAATCTGAGACAAATACAAACTCACAAGCTTTCTGCTCTTCTGTTGAGCAAACCACATTTAGGGGAAAAATACCTGTGGTCACTTTCGAAAAAATGTTCACCATGTCTCTTCAACTTTATTATTATCTTCCTGAAGAAGTCATAAAGTTCTATATTAAGTATAAATCTTGTTCTCAATGTAGTACGATGTGAAACGACTTTCAACTAATTTAGTTAATGAGAATTTAGAATAATGAATTATATCATTATTTACTGCAAATCGTGATGATTATCGGAGTTTTCACTTTTCACCCTCTGTTCACTTTCAACCTAATTTCTTCATGGGGAGTTTTGAGCATGAATGCTTTCTTTCCATTATGAAATTTATTACGTGATTATGCATTTAAATAGTAAATATAACTTAAATAGGTTAATGTCGTCTCTTTTGACTGAAATCTTCGCCTTTAAACAAAGTGCTTTCTTTTGTAGAATATTGACTATTGATTTCATTGGATCTAATCGTTTCCATATCGTTTTCTACTTTTAGCGCACCTTTACACTCACTATTACAAAATTGATGACGTTTTTCGTATCGAATAAGAAGGAAAACTCATAGTATCATATTTAACCATCTGAATTATTTCATCCACGTATCCATTCTGATTCAGACATATCAAAACGTCTTTTCAAGATCATCATTCTGACAACGCTGGTTAAAGCTAGACACCTAAAATATCTTATAAAAATGTTTACTTTTATCTAAACCAGATTTTAAATGTCATCAATCTTTTGTAGGTGTACTAATTATTCATAGAAATAGAAAAAGAATACTTCAACAATATTACCTCTTAAATTGTGGTTAAACTAGTCTCATTGGAGAGCGAGAAAGTCAATATGATTCAAAATTATAAATGAGGATGGATCATATTGAGGTTTGTCTAAGAGTTTTGTAGGTGGACGGTCTTCATTTGGTTTAGGTTGAAGGACGGGATGTTAGGATATTCCACAACCAGCTTCCTCATCTGTCGTGCTGAAGGAGATGTGTCAAGCATAAATCAGTGTACGTGATGGAAATTCTTTCCGGCAATCGGAAATACAAAAGCACTAATTACTTCTTTTCGTACCAGACTCGTAGATTCACAGCTCAAAACAATTGTTGAAAGTATGCGAGGAGTTCGAATTATTCTGAATTTTCTGACTGAATGTTAAAAAAAAAGTCTGTCATTAGACAGGTCATGGAACATTTCTGGGTAGAACATATTATCTTTTGACGTTGAATACTGTTCAAATGGTTATAATTTTTATATTAAACAAGCGTAAAACATAAATTCAAATGAAAGTTTGAAGTTTTCTCGAAGTTTCAAGATTCAGGATTTATCTCGTTTTGCAGGGACATTTTTTGACAAATGTCTGAAACCCAAAATGTATCCAATCAGAGCATATTCCAATACCTTCGCGATAGATAGTCATTTGAAATCCTTGATTTTGTAAACACAAATTGTCAAGTACACACATTCAATTATTAATATATTTTTACTTGGCTTTCTGTCGCATATATTTTTAAGTTTAAGTTCAAATAAAATATTTTTGTCGTTTTATTTAAGAGACGGACTGCTAAATTAGATTTGGTGATGAAGATTATTCATTTTACGATTTAGTTATTTGTCAAAAAAAAATTCGGATCCGAAACGGAATGAGGAGAGCAAGTTTAGTGAAAGGTTTGAAAGGAGCGGTACCAGAGTGAGTAGAGCGGCATTGGCTCTGAACAAGTCGCGTCGCAGAAGGGAGACAAGGAAAGAAGGGACGGATGAGGCCTGGGCAGGATGAGCGGGTCACATTGCGGAAGAGTGCGCGGAGGGGGGGGGTGGATGTGGTGAGCGCGTAGGCAGGTCGGGGCATGAGATAAGGGCGACAAGGGACGAAGGTCTATGAAGATGACCGGGATGTTGGGGATTGGACGAGGCTGAACCGAGTCGGATAGTGATGGTCGGGCATGCCGAGACAGAATGGGACGGGACAGGGCGAGATGGGACGAGGAAAGTCGGACGGGGTTAGACGGGACGGGACGAGACACTACGGAGCGCGGCAGGATGAAGCAAAATGGCACGGAGCGGGGCGAGGCGGGATGGGCGGGATCGAGGAGGGACGAGGTGGAACGGGCTTTGGGCGAATGGAAGGCGGCAGAGCGGGTCGAGCAGGCGGGGTGGGGTGGAGAGAGACGAAGCGGAGAGGGACGCGGCGGGGAGGGAAGGAACGGGGTGAGATGGAAAGAGGAAGTGCGGGGTGGAGAGGGACGGGACGGGTAGGAGAAGGACGGGGCGGGGTGGAGAGGGATGAGGGTGGGATGGAGAGAGACGGGGCGGAGTGGATAGGTTCGGAGTGGGGTGGAGAGGCAGGGTGGGGTGGGGAGGGGCAGGGTGGGGTGGAAAGGGTCGGGACAGGGTGGAGAGGGACGATGCGGGGTGGAAAGGACAGGGCGAGGGGTGGAGAGGAATGGAAACGGGGTGGAAAGGGATGGGGTGGGGTGAAGAGGGACGAGGCGGGTAGAAGGATGGGGAAGGGTGCTGTTGGACGGGTCGGGGTGCCGTTGGACGGGGGGGGTGGAGAGGAATGGAACGGGGTGGAAAGGGACGGGTGGGTGAACGAGGGACGAGGCGGTGAGGAGGGGAGGTGCTGTTGGACGGGTCGGGGTGCCGTTGGACGGGGCGGGTGGAATGGGACGGGGGAGATGGACAGTGGAAAGGTGCGAATATGCGAACGAAGGGCAGAAAGGCGAAGTGCGAGCGCGGGGCGGGTGGGGCGGGGCGGGGTGGGAGGCGGGGTTGGGGTGGGGTGGGGCGGGGCGGGTGGGGCTGGTGGTTCGGTGGGGCGGGGATGAGCGGCGGGGGCGGGGCAAACGTCGTAATTGGGGGGGTGGCCGGCTTGCACCTGGGGGCGACTGCAGGTGCGGGGCGTGGCTGTCGGTCGAGCCTCTTCCGTTTGCCACCAGGGGCGCCAGCGCTCACCGTCCGCTGTTGCAGGTCTTCGGCGGCAGAGCGTCACCAAGCTCAACACGCTCTCCATCGAGGCGCCCATCACCAAGGTGGTGACGCTCATCAGCCAGGCGCAGGAACAGTCCTCTCCCGAAGTGTCGCTGATGCTGGATAAGGTGAAAAGGGTTCTTGCTTACCTTTGAAGTAAAGCTTTAGCTGTTTTAATCAAGGGTAACTGAACAAACACCGAAAGAAATGAATGCATATTCAACGACAAGGCACAATTAATGTACAATAAACAATGAAAGTTAGTTTCCAAGCCATTGTCGTGCAGTGTATTTTAATATAATAGCAAATAGGCATGGATGGATCAGGAAAAATTGCTTCGTCAAGAAGTAGGAACAATTTTATGTCATTAGATAAAACTTTGGTAAGTTGTTTACAAGAGTTGTATGAGGGATTTTGTAGCATGTTTTTGATAAACGTTTGCGGAATGTGAATGATGAATGAGGGGAAAATGTGGAAATATTTTTGCGATTAAGTAATTGTGATATTATTATTATGGCAACAAATGTTCATATTATCGAGGGAAGTTGATCGAATTTAAAACTTAAATACGAATAAATCCACATGAAATTACTGTTCAATGAAGAATGAAAAATAATAATTTAGAAGTTACTGTTAGATATTTTCTCCCATTCATGATGTGTTACGAAGGAAAAATTATATCAAATTACACAGTTTGTTAAATTTTAGTTTAGTTCTTCCAAATATTTGCAATCTTTTTAATATATTATTATATACCTAGAACGATGATAAAAACGAAGTATTTTTCTCTACTTGAAAATGCTTTTTTTGCAATTTTATAAGATTTTATTGTACCATATATTGAATATTATGGGAATATTAATTGTGTTACAAAATAATTGAAACGTTTTAAAAATAAAATCCAGAGTATTTTATGCGATTGTTGAGTTGCGAGTAATATGTTGAAATATTGTTTGAATACTTCCCCGTTCTGTCTTCGCAGGTGGTGGACATTCTACGCACAACTGAGCTGTATTCCCCTGTAGTGCGCGAGGACAGATTGCGGCCTGACGACCCTGTCACCTCCGATCTCATATCGGCGCTTCTTCAGGTAAGTATTGGACTGGCCCTGCCAAGCCTGAGTTGATGTTTACAGGATGTGCTAACTCTCGAAATTTGAAATAAATAATTTCCTTTCTTGTAGTAGCAAAATTTTAATATTTTTGGTTGTTAGAAATATTATTCTAAAACCTTATGTTAAGTGATGAATCGTTTCGGGTGTAACAAAATACAATTGCGTTTTCTTCGTAATTTTAGCAATAAATAACTATTTTCTGTTTTGATCTCAGAAGTTAAGATTACCATAAAAACTGTGTTTTTGTTATTACTATCTCGTGTTAACTATTGAGAAGCGAAATAATTGTAATCGTACGCCGAAAATCGGCGATTTATTGAAACTTACAATTGTCGGGTCCTGGTAACGAAAAAGTGTATAAATCATGTTTATAGAGTAAATTATTAAAGGGTTGCTTGGCGGTTCTTTCAACTTATTTCTAAAAAGAATGGGATAAGCACGTTTTCTATGACACTTCTTACCCTCTCCATCTCGCGACCTAAAAAATTTCCTACATTCTTTCACATATGTATCTTTTTTTTTTTTTAATGGAAATATATCTACAGTCGCAGCTTATGTTTCTTCTAATACATTGGGCTGGGTGTCTATTCTTTCAAAATGGTATTCCATTTCAAGTTCTATTTAATGGAACACCGCCTCGGCCTATCGCCGGGTGAAATGACCAGTATCGTCATGAAAAGGTTGACTTTGTTACCTTATGATGTAAAATACGATTCTTTTTACTTTCTCGCTCTTCGTAAGATAAAGTATTGAGTTCGTGCTGCGGGAAAAGGCGAATTTTCGAAAGAAAAACTTAGTCGGGCCCTGGTAACGAAAAATTGGATAAATCATGTTCCTATTTATACTAAAATTACTTCCTCTAACACGTGGTATAGCCATAATAACTGTTTTATAGGTGCTTGATACCGAAAAAGCTATTGACGACAAAACGTCTGTCTGTCCATTCATCTGCCCGCTCGTCTGTCTCTTGTCTGCCAGTCTCTCTGTCCGTATGTCTATCTACCTGTTTATCTGCCTGTTTGTCCGTCTGTCTGTCCGTCCGTCTGTTCGTCTGTCTGCCTGTCCGTCGATTCATGTACTTTCCGGCTGTCTATCCGTCTCTGACCGTATGCCTGACTAACCTCCTGACCGTCTGTCTGACCGTCAGTCTGTCTGGCCATTAGTCTGACCGTCTGTCTGTCTGACCGTCTGTTTGACCGTCTGTCTGTTTGACCGTCTGTTTGTTCTCTGATCGTCTGTCTTTCCATCTCTGGGTCTGTCTATCTGGTCAACGCTAGCGCCTAAACCGTTCAGCCGATTTCATTGAAATTCAGCGAAAATTGATATTTCTCAATCGATTCGAAAGATCTCGAGGTTTTGGAAATTTCCAAAGGGATATTTTGATTTTTGAGACAATATTAGGTAAAGTCACAGCCACATTTTAGAAACTTTTTTTTCATAGCGTAAAGAATTTTTAAGAGAATTGTGCAGGTCTCATTTTTGTTGAAATCCAAGTTTTATCAAAAATTGCAAAACTGCAATTTTTCTCTACGTCATCCTACAACTACAAAATTGAAGACAGATGTTCATTTCTTTATGAAATCTGTTCCATAGAGACAGACTTTGAAATATATTCCTGAACAATGTTTCAAAAATATGAGCAGTTCTTCCTTATTTTGTGCGAAATATAGTCAATTTTTAATTTTTTTAAACAATTTTTTTTGCTCTAAAATGGCCCTATTTTTTACTTAAAATTTTCTCATCGTGTGTATCAAAGAACTGTAAAAAAATGCTAATCTCTTTTTCGGCGAACTCTCCGTATTTTCGAAAATTGCAAAAAGGTATCATTTCCAGTCCTCAAAATACAAGATGAAGATTTTTGCCTTAAAAAAAGTCTGTTGTAATCAGCTCTTCAAAAACCGAAAGGTTCGCATTGTTTATAAAAGAGCAGTTTTCGCGTAATTTGCTCTTGAAATTAAAGCAATTTCTGAAAGAAATATTTCACGAAATACACTAAAAGTGTTTTCTTTAATTTTTATCAATGAATCGAAGGACGGACACTTAATAGAACGGCGCGGGTCTAATTCTTGTTGAAGTCACTGAATTTTTGAAAATTGCCTATATAGAAAAGTATGTGGTGTTGTAGCACCTCCACTTTAGAAGATGTGAATGTTACTTTCAAGAACTTTCTTTCAGTTCACCTTTTTCCCTAATTACTCTCTTCTTCTTTCATGACCATTAGCACCCATCTTCACCACCCCCAGAATGTGACATTATGTTGTATGCATTCATTTTCCTGCTCAATTTGTTGCCTCTTCCATTAGTGTTTGTGCTGTTTATCTTATTCGTCTGCTTCGTACATCTTTCTGTCACTACAATCCAATAAATCCAGCTTATTCTAATATTTACAAGCATGTTGTAACTTCGGCTTTTGACAATGTTCAGTGAGAGATAATATCTTTCTAGAATGGCTCTCCATCTCAGTTGTAAACCCTGTCAAGATGAAGATAAGATAAAACAATTTGTTGTCATAATTGATGGATTTGTACGTAGAAAAAGTCCAGATTTCCTTCCAGCGAAGCGTGAACAAAACGTAACCGCTGGTTTATTACATTTCGGCACGCTTCTCTATTTCTGGAACATATCGTTTACGCATTGCACTCGCAGCTTGGGAATGCGTTCATGCGCACCCGCTTTCATGTGGGTGACGTTCCATAGAACGCTTAATTACCTAACCACGGAGTTAATTACATTCCGCGCGTCCGGTTCGTGACCCGCCCGCCCCAGCGCGCATGGCCGCCTCGCGCGTGCAGAGCGATCGGGCGACACTCCCCGCCCCAACGCTGTGACGGGGGCTGAGCGACAGGCACTCTTTCCGTTTCCCCCTGTTTTACTTCCATGCCTTTGGTTTTGTCACACAATTTAGATTGATGGGGGATATAAATATTAGCCAGTTTCCTCAAATCTATTCTTTGATCCCGTATGTTTCGTTCAAATTCACTATTGGAAATAATTGGCTTGCGCGGTTTATGTCTTATGCTCTTTGAGAATTCGTATTTAATTTTTGGAACCGGGGACCAAGCTATTCTGAAGGGGTGTGTTGCCGAGATGTTTGTTTCGTCTCCGGGGAGGGCGGCCGCTGGCGCCGNNNNGGGAGCAGCGTGGTGGCGCCGACGACGCGGCGCAGCTCCAACGACTCGGCGGTGGGGCGCGGCGTGCACGCGCCGCGCGGCAGCCGCAGCGCGCCCAACGCCTCCACGCAGCTCTCCGTGCTGCTCGAGTCCTCGCTGCTCTGGGAGTTCGACATCTTCAAGCTGGAGGAGCTCAGCGGACAAAGGTGCAGAAACATCACACATTCCCTTATTTAAGGGAATGAATGAATTAGTGAGTGAGTGAAAGAGTGGATGAGTGAATGTGCCAACAAGAGAATGAATAAATTGGTGATGAATAAATAAAGGAATGAATAAATATGTGAGTGCATGAGTAAGCGAGCGAGTAATGAATTGAATTGAAGCCTTATTTTACGTGGCGAGACTCAGGCCATTAGGCCTGCTCTTCCGTCTGACCACACAAATTTCGCTACGCTCCCTTCACCAACTAGCAGAGAAAGGAGGAATTTCTTGGGCGAGAAACAGGCGATTTGAATTTGGCTCATAGGCGTCATTTAGGCTTGAGGATCTTTTACATGCATCCCCTCCGAAGGAAGGTGTACGAAGGATTTTTTTCGCCCTTAAAAATCCACGGCTTCGATCGGGATTGAACCCGCGAACTAGCGTACAACAGTCCAGTACGCTAACCGTTACACCATCGCCGAATGAGAGAGCGAGTGAATGAGTGAATGAGTGAGTGAGGAGCGAGTGAATGAGTGAATGAATAAATATCTGAGTGAATGGGTGTTGGAATTGTTGAATCAACACAGGTCAGGGTATTATAAAACAAGAAATATATTATTACCATTATAACCACAGGTTAAAACTTGTTTAAAAATAATAATTATTTTTTCACGATAATTTCTTACATTCTCATATGCTTTTCCATACACATTTCGTTAACTGTACAGCAACAATTTTACACATTTCATTCAACTAGAATTATAAAATGAGTGCCGTTTTGTTAATTTTTCCCTATGTCTTTGTCAATATGCTCAACCGATTGCGATGATCACGAAAACCTAGAGGTCCTGTTATAAATACTTTTTAATACAACGAAACTTTGAAGACTATAAAATTGATTGCTCAAAACAATTGGAAACTATTCCATACATAATGATACTTTGCTTTGTAACATTGCTAATGTCAGCTCTGTCCTGCAGACCGCTGTTACACCTGGGCATGAATCTGATGGAGCACTTCGAGGTCCCGCAGACGTTGAACGTGGACATGAACACGGTGCACAATTGGCTGAGCATCATCGAGATGAACTACCGCGCCACCAACACGTACCACAACTCGTCGCACGCCGCCGACGTGATGCAGTCGAGCGCCGCCTTCCTGGAGCGCGAGCGCCTGCAGCGGATCCTCGACCCGCTGGACAACGCGTGCTGCCTCATCGCCGCGGCCGTGCACGACGTCGACCACCCGGGCCGATCCAGGTGCGCTCCTCGCCCCTCGCACTCACTCGCACTCGCACTCGCACTCGCCCCACTCTCGCCCCCCCCGCAATCGCACTCCCACTCCCATTCGCATTCACACTCGCACTCTCAATTGCTCTCCCACTCGCACTCCCACTCGCCCCCCACTCGCACCCCCACTCCCAATCCCACTGGCACTCTCACTCGCACTCCCACTCGCACTTCCACTCTCATTCCCGCTTCCACTCGCGCTTCCACTCCCACTCGCACTCCCACTCCCACTCGCTCTCCCACTCCCACTCGCACTTGCACTCCCTCTCGCACTTCCACTCGAACTCCCACTCCCACTCCCGCCCACCATCGAAATCCTTTGATTCTAGGATGAAAATGCATGATTCTTGAATTACCCCGTTTGTCCAGTTAACAATGGAGAACTTATTAAATCTAAGTAATGTAATTCACAAAGTATATGTCATTTTTCAAAAAATATTATTATTCAATAAGATATGAAACTTAGTATTGACCGAAATAATGAAATGACAACTATTACCATGTTGCTTACTTTCATAAGAGTTCGTAAAGATGTGTGTCTGTACAAAAAGCTAAGCACAGACGACGGTTCTTGACAATTTTGAAGAAATCGTCACAAAACTCCAGAAGGGTTGTATTGCTGGGTAGGAAATTAGTTCCTAGTCCTGCTTCTAACAAATTCAATGCGACAAGAAGTTGAATATTATGATACAAAAACAGATTGCCGCAACACACAATATCATCAGACAACTGTTGAGAGGGACAGATGTGTTCGAACTTTCGAAGGAGGGTTGAGAGACATTGTGGAAATAATGAGGTGCTGGTGGGAAAATAAGAGGACAGTGAGAAACAATTGAAGCTCGAATTATCTTCCGTAAGCAGTACTCTACAAAATGTCAATTTATGGAACATTGGAACTTATATGAAGACATCTTCCATATAGTGCAGAAACGATGTAAAATTAAATCGAAGTACAAATACAGTAATAATCTTTCACGATAAAACTATAGGGACTGTTTACTTTTCTCAACGCTTAGCGGTGTTAGAATGGTAACTCTTGCGCGGCACCAATCCTGTAATGCTGTAAAAAACCGCTTAAGGGCTGGCCATTCGAAGTTGCTCTAATGTGAAGGAATTTTCGCGTTTAAAACTATTATTTACAAAGCGCAGAATTTTCACGCGGGTTTAGTTATAATAGATTATTTGTACTATCCGTTTTTCTCCGGTACTACCAATTAAACATCAGCATAATGAGTTGTCAGTAGATATGGCTTTTATCAACTTCTATGCTAGCACACTAATTTTACCCGTAACATATTTTTTGTTTGATATATAAGTTTAAAGAAAAATAATCAAATTTTACTCTTTTCCTACGGGAACGCCGCAGCTCTCCGATCAGCGAGCACTGAATTCCAGAGGAACGCGAGGCTGTTTAACACGGCGTTGTAGAGAGGGGGCGTGGGTACTTGGGCATGCGCGCAGCAATAGCAGGCGTGCATTTTGTGCCCCTGAGCTCGAACGCTCATGTTTCGTACGAGTTTGCTGGTTACACAAATATAGTTAAAGAACTTCTGTTAAAAAATGCGGATAATTTGTTGACATAGAATGTGACTTCTCAAAACTTCGTATTATATTTTTGTAATTTCTTAAGGGATTCAAACATGATTTCGAATTGCTGATTTTTTGAGATGCATTGTGAGGGAGGTAGGCATTATCCATATCCGACGTTATACAAGTAGTCGTATCTTGGAATTGTCATTACAAACATTTCTTAAATGATGCAAATTGCTATTTTGTAGTCTCTGAAACGAAAATTCCAAGTATTTAATATTTACTGATAATTATCACAACAATAATGAATATCAATTTTCGTAAATGTTTCAAATGGTAAAAAATAGTGATGGATGTTTAATAGAAATAAATTAATTATTGATTTAAATACTCCATTTCAATCGAGTAAAGATATAAAAAACTAAATTCACGATGTGTGAAATCTTTCTGTTTGTAATAGATATTCAAGAGTAAATAATTATAAAGACCTTGGTTGTGGAGAAAAGGAATTACGGAATTAGTACGTGTAGTCACAAGGGCCATCAGAGATCTGGGAATGAGTCGTAAGTGCATGTGAGACGAAGATACTGAAAGGAAAAAAGAATTAGATAACAATGTAATGATATAAAGTGGTTTGACAGAGGGTGTAAGACGAAAAGCTGTTGTTGCACAAAACAAAGAAGCTCACCAGAAATAGTAGGATAAATTCATAAGTAAAATTAAAAAATGCATACATGGAAGACAAAATGCCGTACATAAGATAATGAAACATCTGAGCAAGACAGAAGAAGATACAATGAAAATTGTGAAAGAAAAACGAATCGAACATTATAAACAATTATGCTAGGCTGGACAAAAAGACCGGAATGTAAAGAAGGAGAAAAGAACAAAAGTGTTGATCCAATTAAAATACAAGAGCTTCAAGAATCGTTAAAAGAACTAAATAATAGAAAGGCTACTGGAACAGACACTGAACTTTTAAACTATGGCGATCCACTTCTGCATTGAAGATTGCAACATCTCATGAACCAATGACGGCAATCTAAACGGATATCAGAAGAATGGAAAACAGCTGAAGGTAAACCAATATTTAAGAAAGGAGATCGAGAAAACCCAAATAATTACAGAGGTATCAGCGTGCTTAATTCAACATACAGGCCATAATTATAAACAAAAGACTCCTAAAATAGCAGTCTTGCTAGTGGACGTAGAATAAATTGGTTTTCGCTAAAGAAGATCAACTTCTGACAACGCATTTGTTCTACAGCAACTCGTGGACAAACGAAGAGAATTTAATCTACAAATACAAACAGCATTTATTGAATGCGTTAAAAAATGCGGATGAAGGTAACGTCGATAGAAGAAAACTTTGCGTCATTGTGGAATATTATGGGTATCCTAACCATCCCATAGAAGCAATGAAAAGCATGTATAATTATTTAAAAATAATAATAAAGTCAGATTGCATTAAGACAGAAGACATTTTAATTAACAAAGGTGTTCGACAAAGATATTCAATGTCGCCGATACTTTTTAACATATATGTAAACGAAATATTTCTGAGATGGAAACAAAATGTTAGCACAGGAATAAAATTTACTATGAAAAATATTTTAAACTTTCTACCTTATGAAGATGATGCTGTCATAATTCAAGAAATTAAAAATGATCTATAACACGCCCTGCACCACTTAAATCAGCTATGCAGCTCTTACGACTTACTCATCTCCAAAGACACAACCAAAATATTAGCGTTTTGGGGAAAAGATATTATCCGTTGAAAAATAATTCTAGACAATGTAAACTTAAAACAGGTTCTAAATTTTAATTACCTAGGTTGAGACTCAGAAGGTCAAAAAACATTGATAAAAAATTAGCTCAATTTCAATCCATCTGTGGGACCATACACCCTTAAAAACAAGACCCGAAAAGATACTAGAATTCAATTTTATAAAACATTATCTCACCGAATATGGCAATGAGTTCTGGGTTCAAACGCAGAAAATAGTAAGCAAAATTCAGAACTTAGAGATGAGATTCCTTCGAATTTCGAAGACCAGTTAACAAATAAAGAAATCAGGCGAGAATTGAATGTGAATAGCATAAATAATAAAATGTAAATGGACAGTAAGAAGTGGCTGCAACACTTAGAAAGGATGAAAGAAACAAGACTGTGAAGACTAGCATGATATTCTTACAAACCGAGAGGGAAAAGAGATACGGGAAGACCCAAGGAAAGATGGAAAGATACAGTGGAGACGGAAAAGGCGCAAGCCTAACACGTGAAGTGTAGAAGAAGAAGAAGCTTGGTTTTATTTAGTACAACCACACCATTTTGTCGAAATGAAGATAATCCTACTAACACACTTGTGATTATTACACTTCGTCTAAGTATGCTGACGTAATAAAGGACGCTCCACAAAGAAGCAATTGTAATTTACTTTGTGGCGAGGAACGTCGCATCGTAACTTCGTTAGTTTCTTTGTCATATTTCCCAGAATAAACTCTATTGTGGTATAGGACTTGATGTAAAATTGCTCTGTAATGCATTCAGGTGAATTATTCATTAATTTATATTTTGTAGTTTCAAATGAATGTGTAACGATTTAATAAAATTAATTCTAATGGTTGTCTAGAAAATTTTAATGAAAGGAAGTAATGTGATTTGTAAATTAACTGACCAATTTGCAAGAATAAATATTTCAGAGGAGGGTCGAACTAAGCTAAGTTAGCCATTAAGTATGTTCTAAGCCATTGTATTGTGTTATTTTCTTCCCAGCGCCTTCCTGTGCAACTCGGACCACGAGCTGGCCATTCTGTACAATGACATTTGCGTCCTGGAGTCGCACCACGCGGCGCTGGCGTTCAGGCTGACCGTGTCGGACGAGCGGGTCAACATTTTCAAGGGACTCGAGCGGGACGTGTACAAAATGGTGCGGCTCAGCATCATCGACATGGTGCTTGCCACGGAGATGACGAAGCACTTCGAGCACCTCGCCAAGTTCGTCAACGTCTTCTCCAAGCCCGTGCGGGAGGACGACGAGTCCAGCCACGTAAGACACCCTCGGCAACTCAAGCCTCCCTCACTCACAGAAATCCCTCTTTGTGAACAGCCCCTGCCCTACTACGTGTATGAGCATCCTTGGGTACTACAGAAATCCCTCTTTGTGAATGGCACCTACCTTACTACGTGCATAATAAGGCCTATCGTGCATAATAACGCCATTTGAGCTCAGCTATATAGCTGCAACCAATTTAAAAATGGTACATATTTAAGACTTTCATTCAACGCCCTATAGCTCATATGAAACTGCCAAATCCACCAGGAGCTTCAAAACCCATCAGTTTCCCTACCTTCAGGCCTCTGCACTACCAGCTTTCACCAGTGCGAAAATGCACTCCTCCCACTACTCATCAGATCTCGTTTTCTGAAGATACTCTTCCCCCCACTACAAACATTTTGAACATAAATCTTTTCAACCACTTCCTATTCGATTTCTCTGTATCCTCACTCTTACCAACACCTGAATTGATTATTAATATTGATTAATACGCTTTGAGGGGTAGTAGGCCTTACATATCACATTCGCCTGAATATGACCCATTTACATGTTATTTATTTGTACCATTGAAACTCGCAGAGACCCTGGTCGAAATGGAAGTTAAAAAATAAATATTGAAAAACATTTACAACACTGTCGTACTGAATATTACAACGTCTCCTCTCAAAGACTAATTTTTTCGCTGTCTGTATTTGCGTAGTGCAGTCCTTTTTTATCATTTAAATAATTATATTATGTTTCATTTACATCAGTTCATTATTTACTTTCCAAATTTCTCATTTCATTTCATTTCCTTTTATATTTTCAATTAGCTAATTTCTTCCATACGTATCAATTCATTTTGACACATTTTTGCATCACACTAAATTTTTATCGGTATTGTTGACTTTTCTTCATTATATTCTGTAATTACGTTACCCAACGTTAACTCATAATGATAACTTTCTCTGCTGTTATGTATACTACATCTTGAATCACGTCATTGCTTTCATATTATGAATTTTTACGCAAGTGTATACTGAGTATGTTTACTAAAAGTATTTTCTAACGCCTACTCGAGTGATGCAGTCTAAAATATCAACTGGATCACTATTTAGACATATAATAATAGAATTTAATAATTCGTATAGATAAGGAAATTATTGCAGACAAAAAACAGATAACTCGATGCGGTTTATATTGATCACAATGGCTGTAATAGTGAACATTATATTTGTGATGTCATTGAAATGATAGTATTCAGTTCTATGAACTCTGCGGAACTCCTGATTGCAATGACATGAAAAGAGTTCGTGACCAGCCATTTCCCTGCAAAGTGCCATATATTTTAAAACTTCTGTCAAAAAATGTCAACTTCTTTAAAATATTGACGAGCGTTCACTCCCCGAATCTGATCTCAACACCTGTCAAAAGTGACAAGCAGGATTATCAAATTACTTGGAAGAATATGGATGAGTTTCCTTACCTATTATTTTGAACTAAGGATTCGTGCGACAGTTCTGGAGCGAATACAAATGACAATTTAATCCGAGTGGGGGACAAAATGGAAGTTATGAAACATTTTGTCATCGTACAAGTACTAAAACAACCAACGTAGTTGCAAGTAATAATTTCATGATAACGTCAGAGGAACTCATTAAAACGTCCCGTGATTAATTTATCAATGTAATAAGACAATAAATTGAAATAAAAATTCGATTAGCGTTTTTCGTCTTAATGTTCCTAAATGCTATCGCTTTTGAATACGTTTAAAGTGTTTTTCACTCAACCCAGGGAACCATTGTCTTGGTATCTTGATTACTTCTGAACATTGAATATATATGGTTCATTAATACAGTTTATACTATTCATTGTAAGGATTTAATATGCTTTAATGACCTTGATGTTTATTATTTATCGACTTTATCCGTTTAAAATATCGAAATATACGTGAAGTCTCGTTTTATAGCTCGAGCATTTACTGAGACTTTTTTAAGCAGCATAATTACTGATTGCAGACGATTACTGAAGAGCATCAACAAAATGCGATTCAATTATAGTTTGTGTTTTCGGCATACAAGGAACCAAGCTCATTTCACCTTACAAGTAATCGTTGTAAAACGTTCATAATTTAATATGAAAAAAGGTAAACAATAAAATAGATCCAACAGGTCTATAAGAAATTTACTGGTTTCTTTATTGGTTTTCTAAGTTAGGTTGTCAACAAATGTATTTCTGTTAACAATCGGGACAGTAACAAAATGTTCCTATGGAATTATTGTTATTTTGGACCCCTGTTGATGTGAAGCACTGTCCGAAGGCGTCAGAGCCCCGGTCGTTGCGTGTGTGGCGGAGCAGGACACTGAGGCGGGCGGGGGCGGCCCGTGTGTCTGCTACAGAATCGGTCGCGGCGGTCCCTGTTGCAGCTGGGAGCAGACACGGAGGGCGCCGTCATGACGCAAGAGAACATCGCCCTGGCCAAGCGCATGCTCATCAAGTGCGCGGACGTGAGCAACCCGGCGCGCCCCCTGCGCCAGTGCGTGGAGTGGGCACTGCGCATCGCCGAGGAGTACTTTCAGCAGGTCAGGCAACGACTCACGCAGTACCTGAGTGCGGACGTGAGTTAGTACGTGAACGAGTGTGTGAATGAGTGAGTGCGTGGTGAGTGCGTGAGTGAGTGCGTGAGTGTGTGTGTGTGAGTGAGTGAGTGCGCGAGTGAGTGCGTGAGTGGGTGTGTGAGTGAGTGTTTGAATGAATGTGTGTGTGTGAGTGAGTGTATGAATGAAATTGTGAGTGAGTGTGCGTGAGTATACAAGTGAGTGAATGTGTGTTTACGAGTGTGTGAGTGTATAAGTGTGTGTGTGTGTGTTTATGAGTGTGTGAGTTTATGAGTGAGTGAGTGTCTGAGAAAGTGTGAGAATGAGTGAATGACTGAGTGATTTTATGAGTGAGTGTGTGAATGAGTATGTGAGTGAGTGATACTTGCAGCACGCACGTGAAACTGTGTAAAATATAAACAAACATTGTTCACTTCCCCTCATTGTTCACGCCCCTCAGCATCAACAAATTACTGTCAAGAAATGTGTTTTTCGTACTGAGAACTTTAAGTGATTGACGCCTGGTTCCCGCATCTACAACCACGTACATTTATTAACCTCTAAAATAAGGGATGTGTGCTTATAGGTATTTCTCTTGTTAACATGAAGGAAACGTTTGAATCTACTTTTGAACAGAGCTATTTTTCTCTTATTGACCAATAATGAAGCAGCCTGGATAGAGGTGGGGGAAGAATATATTGTAAAGCAGAGAACCCAAAAGCAGGTTATATGCAAGACAGTAAGAGGGAGAACTTGAGCATCAATATCCTCTTTTTCTTTACAAACGTGATCCGTTTGTGTTAGTTGCTTGTGATAATCAGTATGTGGTTTTGTATATTAACAATATAATACCAATTAGTCAGAAAAATGCAAACTGTATGAATTCTTTTTAATTTGAAATATTTGTTTCTTGGAATGAAGTTGAATCTTCGGAGTCTGAATTGAGCAACCAAGTCTTCGGGTCGTTAAAGCGAAACCGCTTCTTTGTGCTTCAGACGGACGAGGAGAAGAGCAAGCAGCTCCCTGTCGTGATGCCGATGTTTGACCGGGCGAGTTGCTCCATTCCCAAATCCCAAATTGGCTTCATGGACTTCATCATCAATGATATGTTTGAGGCTTGGGAAGGTGAGTTCACAATTAAGCAAGTGCTGCTACGATAAAACAAACTTTCTCACATTATTTGTAATAGTTATATTAAAGTACAACAATTTTTTTGTATTCCAGCATTATAAAAGAACCTTTTTTGTTGCAAGAAATCGTTCATAATCGGGCATTTTACGGCCCAAACGATGACGTATTAGATTTTGTATCACGAATAATTGCGTCATCACACCTTCATCCAATCGTAGCGATAAAATCGGGGGGAGGTGGAGCTAAACGGAACAGCCGACCACCGTTTACTCGCACGATGTCAAATACCCGAGTGTCACAGGGAAGTTGTTTCGCAAAATTAAGTTTGATTCTCTTATAAATGTATAATGCTGTTACACAAAAAATATAGTATCCAACTCGTTTGTAATGTTGCTTTATTACATTCGTACAAATTTGAAAACTCGCTCCTAAAGTCGCTCGTTTTCAAAACATGTACTAATACAATAAAGCTTAACATTATAAACTAATTGCATAAACTACTATTTGACCATTCCTGCAAAACCTTCTTTACCAAACTGCTTGAATCACGGCACACAATCTCAAATTTTAATTATCTTATAAGACGCTTTTTTCAAATGACCTTGCAGCTGCATATGTGACCATCAGGTATAATTGCTGAATCGTCACATGACATGTCCTGTCAGCAAAACTCATACATACAGTTATAGAAGATTTGTAACAAAAAGAAGTGCCTTCTCAAATGCAATTGTTGTAATCAAGTGCAGTGTTTCTTCATCATAGGCAATGTTTGATGATGAAATGGGAGTTTAGAAAGAATGTATCATTGGGGTGGAGTTATTTCGGTGCGGTAAACCAGCTAAAGAAATTTCTACTGTGTTGAGTCGTCTCTCTACGTCTATCTACCAAAAATTATATCTCTAACAAGGTTTCTAACATATTTCTAACGAGAGGAACTGTTCCTAAGCCCAGAATGGGTGTACCGACGTATGCACACTGTAAAGAAGTTGTGAATACTGTCTGTGAAAGGATTCAACTCGATCGTTTGCATAAGAAAAGAATTTGGTGTCGTGTTATGAATTCCTTCTCCGGACTGTCACATGTTTGCGAAGTGCACATGCACACGGGAGAGCAAACACAAGTTACTCGTGTCTCGTTAATCAACAGCGTGTGTAATGATATGGAGGCGGTTCTTCTGAATTATGTAGAAGATGCGCATTTTTGTATCTCCACCATTGATAGAAAATATTTTAAAACCTCATATACAATTAACTTTATGAAAGGAAAGGGAAATCTTCAACAGTGGTTTCAAATAAAACAAAAAACATACAACAATGATTGGTAAATGATATCCCAAAGTTTATCGCAGTTGTTTGGCGTAAGTGAGTCCGTTCTTTAATCAACTGTATTATTTCTGTTCTAATTTTAAAGCAATATAATGTCAAAAACATCACCACACACAATATCGAGGTAAAAAGAAATTAACGAAATTAACGTCAGTCGACAAGATTTCAATGAACCTTCATAATTAACATAAGAAGGACGTAACTTCAGCATCTTTGTCACTACGTTTCCGAACGCAGCGATAATTTCGAATAAATATGTACTTGAGAGCGTAGGCTTCCGTGGCCGGAATAAGTATTTACTAGGCTGTCCGTGTGACGCCGCGTCCATGGCAAAGGTGCCGACGTTTCGGTCGCCATTCTGCGACCTTCCTGCATTACGCCCTGAGGAAGGTCGCAGAATGGCGACCGAAACGTCGGCACCTTCGCCATGGACGCGGCGTCACCCGAACAGCCTAGTAAAAAAAAATGTACTTGTTCCTATTATATTCATTAAAAAGTACTGACAGAACTCGTATTGCACACGAGTCCATCTGAATGACGTTTAACAGAAATTGTTGACACGGTAGTAATGCGCGAAGGTCATTTCTGAATGAATACTATAGCTACCACGCCATAAAGAAAAATAAACATTAAAACTCCCAAACTAAACAGAAAAAAATTAAGTATATTTTAATACAATGGCAGTAATAATGATATTATAGATAATCAGTTTGCCTTTGCAAAATTAATTTTTTTTATTCTTGTCTTCTTAGTTTTTTTGGCCTGTAATACTCATATATTATACAAATGAAAATTCCGGAATATCATAAAAAACCAACAATTAACATAAAACCAATAATTAACATGAAAACTTTCGATAGGAAAATTATGGCAATTTTCGAGTCATTTGGTCTCTGGTTTCCTAAACTGCGCCATTTTGAATGCGCTTACACTCGGAAACTTGAAACTTTGTAGAAACTTCATCAGATGTTATCACAAGCTTTCGTGTTCAAAATTCATAAATAATGAAATACAGCTCCAGAAGTTAGAAAAAACGCTTATTTGTAATTTCTGAAAATACGAAAGTTTTAATACAAATTTACTTTTGGCATAAAGTTCAGGGCATTGTGTCTGTGATAGCAAAAATAATGAAGAAAAAAGTTGGAACTATTCTTTACAAAAACTCGTTAACAAGTTTGAGGAAAATTATCATGATTTGATTTAAAATACGGGAACACCTAATGATATTTTGCAAAAACTATATATTTGAAATATTTTAAAAATCAAATATTAAAAATTAGATTGAATTTAAAAGCCCTCTAGCGTCAATAATATTAATGTTTGTTGATGAAGATGTTCAAATGTTTTCATGAAAATTGGATTTACCGTTTCTTTTCTCCATAGAACATAGCTTATGAGTATGGTAAAGAAAAAATTGGGATCCGTTTTTGGAAAAAAAAATGAAAATATCTAATTTACGTGAGATTAATTACCTTCAAAGAAAGTGAGTACGAAACGGCAGGTGCTCGCTTTCGAATATGCGTCGCTCTATCTACCTGTCGATAATAATAATAATAATAATAATAATAATAATAATAATAATAATAATAATAATAATAATAATATCGACAACAACAACATTTTACTTACTGCCAGTGTTACATCCCTTATTTTTATTTTATCTGTAATTTACTTGTGTTCATTTCAAAGATGAAACTAATCAGTAATAACACACTTTATTTGTGAAACGTCTACCGCAACATATTTCATTGTAGTTGGCAACCATCTTGTAAAAACGGCCATTGACAAGTATTGAAAGTTAACAACATTGAAAATGTTTCAGCTTTCCTGGACATGCCTCAACTCAAGTTTTACTTGGACTGCAACTATTTGTACTGGCGCGAGCTAGAATACACAAAAATTCTCAGAGTTGATGTGGACCGTATGCTATTGATGATAAAGCGAATAGGGTGGTATGGTCAGTTTCGGCCCCTGCCCATGTGTGAAAGAGGTCTACCTTTTATGACAGATCTAGCAAAGCAAGGTCTTCTGGATGAGACTTCCAATTTTCACATAAAGCGAGTGAGTGAAATAGCGCCGCCTGGAATAGACGTATTGGAAATATTTGACAATTTACGCACGAAACATACAATTCCATTTCCAACGAGAAGTGCAATTCTTAAGAAAAACGGACCTGGTGTGAGAGTAATAGGGGTAAAATCAAGTCCAATCAAGCGTTTGCATCATCAAGAACTTATTAAGAAAACTGGTGAGCAAGGGATATCTAGCATGGAAAACCTTAAAAAGCAAAGTGAAATATCGCCAAGTAAGGAAATGTGCAGAAAAACGGACAAGGAAAGAAGTAAGCCACGCGACGTTTCAACTGATAAGAGGTACGTGAAGTTATGCGGCAAATCGTGTTCTCAGAGTAACTACGCTCTAGTTGCTGGAAAGTCCATCTGCAAAATCAGCGAAGAAAATATCTGCAAGCGCGAGGCCAGGCGCAGTTGCAAGGGCTCGAGACCTGCGGTTGTTCCTAAAGAGAGTGTCAAGGGCCAGGAAAAAGTAGCTCCTAAGCTCAGCAGTCGCGCAAGTTCCGAGCGCGTAACCAGACGTACGAGCAACAAATACTCCAAACCACGAAAAGTCTCTCTTGATTTCCAGCCCACTAGCAAATTTACTACTCCCTGGGGTATGAGTAGGATGGGTAGGAGGCAAAATGACAAATCTCGCGAAAAAATTGAATATAGGCTGATTGACAAATTCAGTACAGAAGTAGTAAGCAAGGGAGAGTGCAGAGAAATCGCCACGGATGATCCCCAAGATGATGCGAGAGATGATGCCAAAGATAGTGATCAAGACGACCTCAAAGATGGGATGATGAATGGAGCTAAAGACGGAGCTAAAAGTAGCCTCAAAGACCGCAGAGACAGTAGCAAGTCCAGTGGAAAGAACGATGTGAAATTAGATATCGGACAAAGTAGCAAACAAGGAGAAAAGCTTGATAGGGCCGACAAGAGGAATAGTGTCAAAGAGGAAGAAAAACCCAATTTGGAGTCAACTGACAGACAGAGTGGCAAATCTCCTGTAAAGTACGATTTTAAACCTGACCTAACAAGAGGCAAGTCCAATTCAGAACATGATGGCCAGCAAGCGGGACTTGTTAGTCGCAAGCCTGTGGAGAGAGTAGTTGGAAAGTTAGATATAAAGTTGCCTACGAAACGCAGTAGCAAACAAGAAGCAAGGGTGGAAACGAAACACAGCTGCAAGCGTTGTGTGAAATATAGCGCTGAGGATATTCCCGAACGACCAATTTGCAAATTACAATGCAACGACTGCAACCAACATACAATCTCTGTTTACAACTTAAAATACAAAACAACACGTGACAGACAAGTAAATGACATAAGAATACCAAAAAGTATAAAAATCGAAAAAAGTAATAAAGACAAGCCTGACAAACACTGATGTTCAATGGATGACAATGAGCTGTATTGTACAGTACAGGTGTACGGCTTCGTCCTCGGCAGTTCCGAAATCTGTAAGTGGTCTATTTTGAAAATACATAGGAATTATATCTAAATTAGAATAGGATCCGGTTCATGGTTGTAAACAGGTGAGTCATTTCAGGTAAAAAAACATCTTCTCAATTACATGATTAAAGGTTTAGATCATTGACCTGAAAAATGCTTTATTTCTGTACAGCCGTTTCTTGGTGATTTTTCTTCTGAAACGCCCAGAAGGATGCGATTATTCTGAAGAGGGTTCTGAAACCTATATTTTCTCAAATACGAAGGAAGAAAAATAAAGAAAATTGTGAACTAAAGACGTTAAGGTGCAAATTACAACAGTTTTACAAGAATATAGGCTCTACATTCTCCCCCAATTTCAGTCGTCGAAGCTTCTGAATTGCAGTGCTCATTGCCGTGTACTTGCTGCTCACAAATGACTTCAATGCCCTCCAGAGCCTATCACGCTAGTGTGCTTCTTTTAGCCTGAAATGACTAACCCTGTTAAATAATGCATTTCCACCGTTTCCGTAGATAACTCTTGCGTCTGCTTTAATGGTAATCAAACACGTAAATACAGGAATATGATTTTAATACATAACAATTCTATTTTAATTTGAATCTGATTTTTTATTGTAGTGTTGGATGATTCGAAGTGATTGTGAGATAATAAAATTATCACTTATTTCTTTTATAACTGAAAGATGGCACTAAATATTGTAGACAATATTTAGAAAAATGATTAATACCTACCAATTCGAATACAATTAGCAGAGTCGATAACACGATTAGCAGTTTATTTTTTAAATGTATTCTTCTATATTTGCTTGTTCTTTTATTGACTATAGAATGTTCGTCTTGAGTTTTCTATAACTAAGAATTTCGGTTGAGTGTTTTCAATTCTGGAATTTTGTATGCTGATATGTATTCATATTAATTCAACGTATATTCACCTGCGTTTACACCTGCGTCAGCTGTTTTCCACATCAGAAGTCGTTTTTCAATAACAAAGTTATAAGCTTTGACATGTTATCACATATTCTAATAATTGACATCAACGTTTCGTGTACAATTATTTTAGTTAAATAGTCTAACAAATCAACTGAGAATCAGTCTAAATATTTTTTATTAAAATATTCGAAAAAACTCAAACCGGAGATTTTTATTTATTGATATTTACTTTCTTCCGCAGGTATACTGACCGTCGAAACACATGAAATATTAACTAAAATATTATTAAGGTGTTGGCACGTCTAACATTTTCAAAAAACAGAACGTCAACAAAGCAACGACGCAAGAATGAATATTTTTTTCTATGAAGCTTATTTTTGTAATATTATTTGAAATAAAATCTTATTATATATTTTGCAACTTTCCAATATAAATATTACAGCATTAGTTCATTTATTTTACACAGGTTTAAGTGAAAAATATTGCAATAGGCCTCTATCGTGTGTTATGTGTATCAGTGAACAGTTGCTGTGATGTTCAGAAACTACTTGGACATGAAGAAAGCTGTGCTTCAAAGAATCGACAGTCATGTGCCAAAGCAAGCCTTTAGAAACGCACAAAGAAATTATTTCTTATTATTTAAATTAATAAGATTCTACAATATTTTCTTCTATTAAGGATGTATCTAGTAATACATTTACATCTTTATAAATATTCAGTAGTCTCAGTGGACGTAAATTGGAAGTTGAGAGAAGAGTGTTATCGAGCGAATACAGTAGTGAAATCATTTAAAAATATTAGTTAGAAATGAAATTGATATTAATGTGAAAATTAAAGAACATTTCGTGTTTATCGTGAACGTAAAAGTGGCTATAGAAAGAACAAAAAGGAAATCTCGTTCAATTGAATCTTTACTTCATATTGAAATCGTTAAAGGTTTTGTAATTTTAATTAAATATTATAACACGTGCATCTTTCTAATGAAGTAATTGAGTAATGAAAGTCTATATCAAATTCATTTTTATTTATAGTGATATTAAGAAGGACTGAATTAAGAACAGCAGCATTTGAGGTTTTATTTTGGATTCTTTACTTACTTTACTTCTTTCCTATCTTTGCTACACAGAGAGCAACGAGAGTGTAAAGACTTAGAATTTTATGAAGAAATCTTTTGGTGTGATGAAAAGAAATGTTCGTATATTCAAAACGATATTGTTCTTTCCTTGTTGGAAAAACCAACTTTTGATGTATTTGTCATCTTCGGTATGGATATTAAGATGCAGCTTCCTTTTACGAAGATGGAAGAACCGTGATGTGACGACACTCGAACCTGTTGTGAGGACCACTTTGTCCTCCCCCTCGCAATCACTAACTCAATTCTTTTAACATACGTATTTGAATTATGAATTAAATATAGCAACAAACGTTGACATTCAATAATTAGGAATGCTTTTCCCCCTACAATACATCTGCATCTGTAAACAAGCGAAAGATTTCTTCTACAAAGCGCATATGGGAAGTCAGTTCAGTAGGCCACAAAATAAAAAGAAAACCCAGTTTCATGAAAAAATGTATTGCAATAGTTTTGGCATAATATTGCACAATGTTTATACATAACCATCTCCAGAATTGAGGCATTCGGCATGCTGTGGGAGCAACATGTGTCCCATTTTTTGAGATGTATCGCTGAGGGCGAGATGGGGCTGCCCGGCGTCCAGCTCCTCTGCAGCCGCTCCGCCGGGAGGCGCGTCGCCATCCGCCTCAAAGCCCGAACGTCGCCCAGGGCGGTTTCCATCGTTTCTCACACATCGAGAAACTCCTGACCGGTCTGCACGACTCTCGCAGGCGGCTCACAGAGGCACAGTTTCAGCCGGCTGTCAAACAGTGGTCCATAACCCTTTTCTATCTCTCTGATGCTTCGACACAGGGATACAAATATTGACCACAAGGTATCGCAAATGTCTTAATTCTGGTGAGAATTATGAGAAAAAATAGTTTAACGTGCCACACGAAAATTTGTTTTTTCCTTCAAATTGTGTTTTCTTTTTATTGACGACCTAGAGAAACTTAATTTGTGGATGTATGTCGTAGTGATGCGAAATAATTAACTTTCTCGGCTTAAAAGACGGCGTGCGCAGTTACTAAAGGAGAAGGCGATCTCCTTTATAGGAATATCGTCGTGTTTCGGAATCGATTAAAATGAGTCACACAAGGAATATTCTCTTTAACTACCGACTTATTCGGCATCTATTATGACTGCTTTATTTGGTGTGCAGGTATTAAACTAATGACACCTTAATGTGTGCCTTCCCTTGCAGCGTTCATCGAGATGCCGGAGCTGATGCAGAACCTAGACAGCAACTACCGGTTCTGGAAGGAGAAGGAGGAGCAGGGCATCTGCCTGCCCGAGGACGCGGAGAAGCTGAGGGCGGCGAGCGCGTCGGGCGGCGCGGCGGCGGGGGCGGGGGCGGCGGGGGCAGGGGCGGCGGGGGCCGGGGCGACGTCGCCCGCCACGCACCTGGCGCCGCTCTCCTCCGACGAGCTGGCGAAGAGACGAGGAGGAGGAGGAGGAGGAGCGGCAGGCTCGCGCTGCCGACCCCTCGTGAGCGCCCGCCCCTCCCCCACGCCCCCTCCCACCCGCCCACCACCCATCGGCCAGCCGCGCCCGCGCCCGCGCCCGCGCCCGCGCAGCACACCACAAGCACAGCCGCCACTGTCGTGTCCCCCCCTCCCCTGGCCTGCTCTCGCGATGTGCTCCTTGCCTCCCCTCCCCCTCCTCGGCCCCCGTGAGATAAATGTGAACATAGGTAAATGTGCAGACAGTCTACCTGTTTCTCTTCTGACGCCTCCTCCTATCACTTTTGAACGTTAACTCGCTGTTGTATTAAACAAAAGTATTATGAACAAATATTTCACTGAGAAGCTGGCCGTGTGTGTTTTGTCGTCGCCCTCCCCTGCCGCAGGCGGCTTCGAGCAGGTTCTCGTTTCCACGGGGTGCGATGGGCAAACTGCTCTGCGCCTTCGTAGCGTCCAAAGGCCTACCACAGAGTTTTAGCGCCTCCCCGAATCCCAATGGAAGATACAGGAAAATGGAAACTGCTAAAACAAGTCTAACAACCTGAAATACATACCTGCGTCGTTTTTAATATATTAATCTAGATAACTATGATACCTTTCTTGTAACAATGAAATTATTTATATATGTACTCAGTGTTTCGTAATTCCCTTTTCCAACTTTCAAAAAATGTTCTTAAATAGATTTTAATGGAAAATACATATTGGTCCGGACACCCTGTATTTTACTAGTTTTCACTTTTTATTCATCTTCCTTTGATATGACTTATGTTGATATGTAAATACACTTCAAAACATTAACCTCCAACCATCATTAATTCCCGAACTCCTATCTGTTTTAAAAACAAGACCACCATAACTGTGTGAGAAATGTGAAATTCCAATAAAAGAAATGTTCCAATTTCCAGTTCTGCATATTTTTTAACATAATTTTGAAATTTAAAATTAAAATGAAAAGCTTGGAAGCACTCTAAAAATGAAATGTGAAACAACTGTGGACAATAACTAGGCATCAACCCATGATTTACATGAGTCATTCTTGAAGAATACTCCTCAATGTTAAAAAAAAGTGAATATAATGTAACCAATTGAATCATTAGAAGAGTAGAGTGATAATATACAATTGGCAAACCAATAATTTGAAAATATAATTAAACAAGTTAGAGGTACTACTGTTTTCAGGAAAATAAAAAGATACGCTGTAGAAATACAAATAATATCTTACCAGAACGTTTCATCTTTATAAGATATTTCTGTTATAAAACGTATTCTGTTCACCTTAAAGCAATAATTTATTTATTGCTATGCTCTGTTTTGGGAATGAAAAATGCTTTTAGATTACAAATATAAGTTATGATTAAATTGTACGAAAGGTAAATGAAATTTTTTTAAGAGTATTGACAACTTATGCATCATTATTATCAAGTTTTTCTG